GTATTCGACAGCGTGTTTTTGAGTAGAAGCAATCCTTAAAAAAATGGATGCATGTTGTATATTTTTAACATATATCAAACTTTATTCTGTATAATGCATTAACAAAGTACCGATCTTTATTACTATTTAAATTCACACTCAAGTGATCAAATCTACTGCCCTCCAGACTGCTATAAACTTTTGTGGTCAATTTTTTTTCTACTGATCAGTAGCATTGTATACTGACTCATCATTGTTTATAATTTTACCACATATTGTCCAGTCAATCACTAACTATTCAAGAGTGCCTAGTCCTGTTAGAAGAACCTTATTCCAACGATTCTGATAGTGATTCAAGCCACCACGTTGTTATACAACCACCAGAATCAGAAAGTGTAGATTCTGATCTCTCTGACGAAGTTACAGGAAACTTCAACCATTTCCAACTCGTATTATGAGTTCTGGGGGAAGTTTATCTCATATTGAGTGGGATTCTAAGGACGATATACCTTTGAATGTACTTTTAAATGTACCATTACCGGAAAGATTACCTCAATAATTTTATACAGAAAAATGGCTACATAGAAATCCTAAAGTTACTGTTGCAAATTTTGAAGAAACTTTTAAACCAGACTTAGAGGACTTATTGAAAGAGATGGTTAAAGATTCATGCTTTTTTAGCCTATTTCACCAAAAGTTTAATTCAGCATCTTGTTCTTCTGAATAATTAATAGGCATTCCCGAAAGGGAATCATTCCCTAAACATTACAACAGATGAAATGCTTTGTTTTGAAGGCATCTAGCTATTTTCTTCAAGGATGACTTTTATTTAGGCGTTTTGGGAATGATATGTTTCTTCTCCAGTTCCGATATCTTGTCACACTATCACGTCTGCAGACCTATGGGACACCAAAGCATAGACCAGAGCCAAGCGCTCCTCCGTTGCTCACATCCATTGCTGTCAGTGCATTTGATGGAAGAGCTCATGTTCTAATCAAAGGAGACCAGGCTTTTAAAAGATGCATGGTATATTGGAGCAGAACATGCTTTTTATAGCTATCTTGCAAGAAATGTAAGATAGCTCTCTATCCTAAGCATTTTGAATCATTCCATTCCTAAATACATTACTTGCAGAGTGAATATTCAAAGAGTTTGTAAAATCAAAATTTTCTACATTCACATACTAAATATAAAATTTCTGAATAACAAAAAGTGTAAATTGTTATCTAAACTACAAGTATAATCAATTGGAAAAGAATAGAAGATTAAAAAAAAACAACGCAAGTGGCAATTGAATTTTACACGCACGTGCTTGGAGGCAAAAAAATTGCCCATTCCTTATCTAGAAATCTAGAAGAAAACAATTAAAAATTCACAATCAAGTGTTGATTTTTAACTAACTGTAGTACAATGCAAATAAAAGAAAACCCATTTTGAACCAAAAAAAGTTCTGAGCATTAATGGGTTAAGACAACATCATCTTGATACTTTGTTGAGACTGTTGTTTTACAGGATAATGACAGAGAAATAATTAATAGCCAATTTCTCTTTAGTCAGTTTTCATAAAAATGTTTAGAGGGGCTTTTCTATATGAATGGAAATGTTTCTTGGGAAGCATTTTTAGATTCTCAACATGGAATTAGAACATGAAAATGGACAGAAATGGCTTTCGACGTCACTGACCATAACAGTCCTCAAAATTATCTTCATAAGTAATTTAAGGTATTATCGTAGGCTGGATACCATCTTACACCATTAAACATCGACTGCAAAGAGTGGAAATACCATAATGGCACGAAAGACCATTATTTGCTCATCTTCTCAATTCTTTGCCAATTGAGCACAGGGTTCTATCTTACGCCCTAACCTCGTTCATTTACATGTAAATGATATGCCCTCATCGATTCAAAATGAAAGAAGTTCTCTTCGCTGATGATATGAATATTCTTTACAAAAAAGAAACAATAAATAGTATGATATACATTTCAAATTTGTTTCATAATAACAAATTAATACTAAACAATGGATAAACAGTTTCAATTAAGTTTTGCGTGCACAACATTACCAACAAACGTGTGCATTATTGAAAATGAGCAACGTAACAAAATTTCTGGGTCTCTCAATTCAGTAACAAACTTCAAATGGAATATAATATTTATATCAATGAATTGAACACTAAATTAAATTTATTGTGTTACGTATGCAGAATTCTTTCAAATTCAATTAGTCTTCGTGCAGCTCTTTGCTAGTACTTTGCAAATCCACATTCCTGCCTGAGATATTGTGTGATATTCCAGGGAAGCTCATCCTACAGTACCCAGACCTTTAGATTGCAGAAAGAAATTATATGAATAACATGCAAAAGTCACCCATGAAATTCTTGCAACAAGTATGTTACTTTACAACACATTGCAAGATGACATTAAATAATTAAAATCAATATAAAAGTTTAAGCAGAAAGTGAAATATTTTCAGCTGCAATACCATTTCTTTAGAATTAGAGACTACACCAATCATCAAACAGGAAAATAATATTTATTTAAAGAATGAAATAACAATAAAACGATATTTTAATGATATATAACAATGCATAAGTTTACATTTTTATTATATAATTTTAGACAGACTTAATATGCCTGTAACAAGCAATAGACTAGCTTCTGGATCAATGACACCTATCTTGATGAAGTTTTTATTCAGTTTCCTTGATCCATTGAGAAAATGCTGAGATGGCTCCATGTTTTGCTTCTTGACATACATGTCACTTCACAATGCGTACATTTTGTTGCGCTCTCCTTTTGCTATCTCTGTAGTACCATAGGCATCGTATGGATTATTACTTTCTTAGTAATAATAAAAAACTAAATCTAGGCAAAAAAATGTTCTATAACTCAAAGTGAAGATGTGTAGTTTTCAAATGTTGCTAACATCTATCTAGCTAATTATTTGAATGGATGAGTGGATAAACTGTACTAATTCAGAAAGTTTCTTCTGAGATAATTCAAGATATAACTTCAAATTAGATATGGCAAAACAGTTGAGATTTGAACCATTTTCTTATGTCAGAAATATTGTACTAATTCACATGTTTATATAATATAATATGTTATATTTTAATATAATATATATGTTTTTATGTCAATATATATTTTTAATATAATATGTTATATTTATATAATATGTTAATTAATATGTTTAGAGGAATAATTGTGATAAAAACATTATTAATAAAGTGAAATAATTTTTAAAAAAAAACTGTGGACTGGTAGTGTTTTTCATTTCAACGAAGATTTACAAACCAAATTTGTTGCAAAATAACAATGAACTTCAAAAGTACCACATTGTACTGTTGTAAGAGTAGGCGTGTAAGTAATATAACTTGGGATCTTCCTATTTTCAAGTTGAAACATTAAGCAGAGCTCGCAAATTATATTATTTTCCTTTTCAAGATTTTTTTGTCAACCGACTGTGTTCCGATGTTTAATTCACTCAGCAAGAACTTCACAGAATCTGATGAGTAGTGTGCAATGTTCATTGGAAAGGATTGTTTGTGTTCTTTTATCTTAAAAAGATTTACATACTTGATTGCATAAGGTCTGTTATTAAGATTTCATCTTTTGGAGAAAGACCTGACAAAATAATTCCTGTTGTGGAATCTGAATGTAAGATATTCCATTTAACTCATGGTTGCTTGTTTACAAACTTGATTGTAAACACATTCTTTCAATGCAAAATAATATGAATTACTATCTCTTCACTTACTGTTCCCCTCATCTTTTGCTCTTCGGTTCAATACAGGCACAGTCTAGGTCAGTAACAAAATGAGTAAATTAAATTATGCCAACCCCATATCACTGGCAAATAAGAAACATGAACCATCTGTTGCAAGCAGCCTGACTCACCAGACATCTAAAATCTCAGCGGACAAGCAGTACACTTCCAGAACAACAATTGTTCTTTCACTCATCACAGAGAAGGAGCTGCCTGATTTGAAGGCAAATGACCTCATATTGAATGGTTTTCAGTCTCAACATGTAGTTTATGCCTACTGCACTAATTTCTCTAAAAAACAAAAATGACCAACTTTGTCCTGTTTTTCCACCCACCCATGCATTTATGTTTTAAGGGTGGGGAAGAGATTCTGGAAATCAAGAAAACCTGCAGAGATTGTACTTCTCCCCAACACATCACAGAGTTTTTGCTGTTCTTTAATGAAAATAACTCAAATCAAAGAAAAATTAACTACGGGTTTGAGAATTAAGTTTTTGATACTATAATTTTTGGCTACTATCATCTGATACCCAAGCAGTGGGATACTCAAACAGTTTAATTTACGGCTCATAGATGGCCCCATTTGTTGTCAACTATAAAAAACCCAATTAACCCCCTAAATACTCACTTTTTTACATCTTTACTTCTTGATGGTTTATAAGATTTTACACCCCATCAACTTCGGACAATTGAGTCACCTATATATGTATTTCTAGTAGTACTGCTTGGTTGTGAAATGGACTCTAGAAAGGTGAAGAAAAAAGGAAGGCACACTTTTGAAATGTAAAGAGGAAAATTATAAACATAAAATGAAAAAAAAAACAAATGTACACATATTTTGAAAAATTAATTCTGTGTGTTCCTAGAAGCTCAGATAGCTAAATCAAGGCCGAAATATTTTGAATTCATTTTATAAGACTGATATCCCTAGAAAAAAAAATTCATAGAATAGTAGAAGGAAGCAGATAGAGAGGAAAGTAGCAGAATTATCACATTACGATAACCAAGGCTAGCAAACTTCCACTGATATAATTGTTGAACATGTTGAAGACAAAAAAATAAAGACACTTCATGAAGAAAAGATGAATGACGTCACTGCCAACACTCTACGTCCCTTATGGATACTGGGTGATCTATGTACTACAACTTATAATGCTAAAAGTGAATGATATATGGAATCTTCTATTCCATATATCAGCTAACCCAGCTAAACCCAATATAGACATTCATGTCTCCAAAAAACTACTTACCAATTTATAAATGATGATTTTCCGGCTGAATGATTGCCAATAAGCAGAACAACTATTTTCTTTCTTGGGGCTAGTAATTTTAATCCAAAATGCTCAGCTATTTTGATAAGACCTGGAACATCATTTAAAATTAAAATTCTGAATGCAACAATAAACTATATTCTTAACTAAAAATGCAACAGAAATTATTTCTACTGCTCCCTTTACTTTTTATCTTGCAACATATTTTTCATTAATGTAATAGGACATTTTTAATATTAACTTAAAAGTAACAAATACAAGTTTGAGGCAATGAATCAATGAAGTGTAAAATACCTTTTTCAGGGTCTATATACAGAGAATGACATTCACGCAAAATTTTCTCATTAGTAGTCAATGTAACTTGATCTGTTGGATTAGCTGATTGCCTTGACTTCACGCGAGGTAGCGACATTTTAAATACTAGTAAAATTCAAGCAATGCTCAACAAAGCAAGGCCTACGGCACAACTGTCAAATCTGGTAAATAATGTATGAATGTCAATAATTAAAAACTAAGGCCCTGCGCTTAATATATTTTTCAATTGTCACACTCAAACCAACGAAGCACAGAAACAAATATGTGAATATAATTAACAAGCAAGCTTCTCAGGATTTTAAGGGCTTCCCGCATTAGCTCTACTGCATCTTGAATGTGTCGTTCGTGATGTGTCGTTCTTAAGCGAACATGTTCGATGCAGACCCGGTCACGCTGGACCCGGTACACGTTTTCATGAACGATGTATAATGAACATGAACGATAATAACACAGCGTTTCTTGCGGATTCTTGCGACTCCTTGTGCAGGTTGGGCATGGCACGCTCGCTGGCCAGGGGTTATTAGAATTTAGCACAGTTCCCATTTTGTATGTGTTTTTTTGCTAATATCCACCAAAATGCATATAAAATAAATTCCGTAATTCAGTTCTTCACTATTTTTCTCAAATAAGGTCATTTTCCATTAGTTCCAAAAATTCTGACCCAAATTCTACAACTAACTTCGATTCTTACCCGGCGTCGCTTTCCTACTCCATATTTATGTCCCCTAATTTGTGAAAAGATTAAAACTCCCAAACTCAGTCTCATTTGTATTAACTTTTACTTCTGCAATTTCTCTATTAATCTTTTTGTAGGCGAATACATACAATCATTAAGAGACGACTTTTTTGTATGTTGAATAAAGTGAATAAGGTGTTAAGTTTGTTAAGAATAAGTTGTTAATCCATTCATTTGAAAATCGGTATTTGCGCACTTAAGAACGTAACTGTGATAAATCGATCGTAATACGTTAAATATGCTTTCAGTAGCATTACTAACAGTTAAGTTTTCTTCATATTCATTTTAAGTTCTTCATATTTAATACGTTTGCCATAACAAACCAGGTTTTTGGAATTTTTTTAGAATCTTCTCGCCGGATCTGAAAACAAATTATCAGTTCTCCTCCTGGAAACCGAGGCGCGTCGAATGACATCTCATGTGTCTCGATTGGTGCATGGGAAGTGGTGTAGCCGTGAGCGACGGATCCTTATATACGCATACTCGCAATTACTCGAATAATTTGTAAGGACCAGTTGAATGTGGCGTCACTGATGCTATACTGTTTTAAATGTATTGTCATGTGTTGAAAATTTACGACATCCATAGCTTTGTTCAAATAAGTTCTGGTATTGGACATACCAATTTAGTAGCTAATGTTTTCCTCCCGATCAAAAATTTCTAACTCCCAATGGCCTTGTATGTTACATCCATAGGGAATATGAACTGGCTATATAGCAATTTCAATATTATAAACGCCGTAAAAGTAGGTATGAATGATGCAAAGTGGTTAGAAAAGCTACATTTTACGTGTTTTTGTTTGTTGCTAATATGCACAAAAATGCACATAAAAAATCATCTGTAAGCTGCTTTTCAGTGGTATTCTCTAATAAGATTATTCTCAATTAGTTCCGAAAATTATGTCGCAAAATCTTCTACAACTACATTTTATTCTTCCCCAGATTTGCTTAACATTTCCATACTTTTGTCCTCTAATTTTTGAAGAGATTTAAACTCCACAGATAGTCTAATTGTTTTAACTTCTACTTCAGCTCTTGCTCTATTTATCGTTTTGTAGGCGAATCTATTTAAACATTAAAAGGCGACTGTTTTGTGTGTATATGTGAATAAGGTGTTAGTTACGTTTTAATGAGAATAAGTTGTCACATTAATTAGAAAATTGGTATTTGCACGCTTAATGATGTAAATGTGAGAAGTCGAACATGAGAACGTAAATGTGCATTACTCACAGTTTGGTTTTCTCTGTATTTACCCGAATTTCTTAAAGTTCACTAAGTTCCAAGTCATTATTGTGCGTGGGTTTTTGCAAACGTATTTTTAAAACTACGTTAATACGGATGTAAATTAAATGTAATCTGCCGCGCCGCGAATCACTTATTGCATTAAACGTAACCACCATAGATCTATTTGGATGGCGTTGGTTTCATTCCCGACATACTCACTAATATGGCATATATTTTGCGCTTAAACACGCAAAACATGTTTATGGAAATTTCATAGAAACTTCTGGCCAGATCCGAAAACAAATTATAAGTTGCCCACCAGTAGACCGATACGCGTCGAATGACACCGCATACGTTTCGATTGATGCACGGGAAGTTGTCCATCCACACACACGCACTCACGCAGACTCATAGTTACTGAAAGACTGTAGAGGTATTACATTTTTGCTCGAAATACAAAGAAAAGTAAATCTTTTATAATATTAATTTGAAGATCCGCGAAATGTAATGTCTAAAAATTATTATTATTATTATTATTATTATTATTATTATTATTATTATTATTATTATTATTATTATTATTATTATTTTTTTTTTTTAATTTGTCCCAACAGGGAGGAGGGGGCAGTTACCCTCCCCCCCTAAATCCCGCCTCTGGTCTGGGCTATCTTTTCGGTTTTATCCCTCCGTCTTCTCAGCTGCTTGGCTCCTCTAAAAGGCATTTTTCACGTTTTCTCAGTTTTTGGATTCCTAACAGTAGAATTAAATTATGGCTTTAATAGAAGAATAAACGTCTTCAATGCAAATTGTTGAAAAATTAACACCTTTTTTTCAGAAAATATCGTTTGGCCGTATCTGAAATTGGACAATTTTGAGCTCGTTTCCGTAGATAACTTTGAGAAAATTTTGAAAAATATGAATTAAAAAAAATGTATTGGAAATCATCAGCACTTCTACTTACTAGTAGTGTAATAATTTGTACTATCACCGGCATTGTAAATATTAATGATGTGAAAGTTATTTAAAAAATTACATTTGTGTAATTTGGGAAAATCAAATAAATATATCAAAATTACATTTATGCCAGTGCGCTTGGCGCTATCTATAAACAAAATGTAGAGACAATTAGCCTCTATAAGCCTAGTCTATATTATTATACCCGAATCCCAACCTCATTTTGACATAGTACTTACAATTTTGAATTGTTTCAATTCGAAAAATCAGGGGTTGTTACCAACGTAAGACCTGCACCATTCTCTTAAACGTCCTTCAGACTATCTAAAACAAAATTTAATAAAAAAATGGAGCCATTTTTTTAGAAAAAAAATGTTTAAACAAAATTCAAAATTGCATAGATTTTACACCAAACTACGCAAAAGTACTAAAAACTTCGAAAAATTGTACGTGACATAATTTCAAAATCTATCTTTAAGGAACACATTTTATTAAGAGAAAATCTCTACCTTTATATATTAGTTTTTGGAAGACGCCGAAAAAAAATTGAAGTTTTGTAATTTTCGAAAGAATCAAGGTTTTCAACGAAAATGATATCTGAACAATTCTCTTAATGGCCCTTTACCCTTTCCATCAACGAAATTAAATGAAAAACAATGGATTGATAATGTCCCAGGATTTCATGTAAAGAACCTTCCAAAATTAAAATATCGGTTTCAAATTCAAGGAGCCACGACATCAGCCAGATCGATCGGGGAGTATCAATTTTGGAAAAAAATCCGGAGAATGGTTTAGCTGCTAGCGTTGCTCGCAGACAGACGGTCGGACTGACAGGCTACACCATGTGATAGAAGATTCTTCCCCTAGAGTTTTTCAGTTGAAAATTCTTGTATTTTTTTGCCTAGTATTACATACCTTTCTCTTTACTACGTAAGCGGTAGTGAGAAGGTAATAAAATAATTGAATTGTAACGTAATATTTTAAATGTATTGAATAAAAAGTAAGGTCAGATGTGCAGACAGCGAGCTATTTGGGATTTGAAAATGTGGCCCACGGTTACAAAACGCTTAGCGATTCCTGTGTTAGAGGAAGTAATTTACTATACTATGTAGGAACAAGATTTATCAACTTTTTAGTTACCAGGGTGTGTTATAAGAGTTTTTCTGTCAAAAACTCCCAGTTTTCTGCACATGATTACAGTACTCTCATTTCTTGTGCAGTAAGTGCGAGAAAGCCAACCTGAAAAGCCACGATCGCTAAATCTGAAGGGCGGTAGCATCTTCGTGCTTGAAAAGACGCGGGTTCGAATCCCGCCCGGGGCATGAATGTTTAAAAAGCGTATGCGTATGCGAGTTCCGCTATAGTTTCACTAAAATTAGAAAACCTATGTTAAATTCAGGGATCGCTGTATGATCTTAATAGCTAAAAAGCAACCCTAAATAATTTAAAAAGTTAAAGAAAGAAACTACTTCACTCCCGAAATGTTAAAGAAAATACTCCAGATGGCGAAGTCACCCTTGCTTTTTGAGGAGAGGTAAAAATATAAAGCTATTTAGAATTGTAAATGCAAAGAACTGTCGAAGCTACATGTAACTGACTGTTAGTTAATCTTTGTGTAAAATCAGTATTTGATTCAAGGGCCTAATAGAGAAACTCCACTGAAATATTAACTATGCGAGTCACTTTGTTTTTTGTTTTTTTTTGGGGGGGGGGTGTAGTGTACTATGGCCAATGGCCAATTGTGAGATGGCAAATACCACTGCCCTTTCTCCGTTATAGTTATTCTCCTCATGAAAACTTTATTGTCCTAAATTCAGTGCATAGTACATATCCTCCCCCATTTGGACACTGAAATCTCCATATCTTATCATCAAATTTAGCAGTTGCCTTAAATATTCTATCCAGTCTATCTAGTCCAGTATATTGAAAGCTTTCCTGCTTAACAACATGTTCTACAGTGTAAAGGAATTTTCAAATTACATTTCCCTTAAAAAATATAAATAAATAAGAATTTCTTATTCCATTAGACTTTCTGTTTCAAGCTGAAGCAAAGAAAAAAGAACTGCATATCACATCCTGTGAAATAGAAGAAGAAAAAAACTGGTCAAAACTTGCCTCCTCGCCATTTCAAGTTATACATATAGAATGTACTACTATTGTTAAATTTGATGTAGTTGCAAACATAATTGATATGTATTATTAATGTAATTATTATTGATGTAATGATTATTAATGTAATTATTATTATAAGTAGTAGCATTAAAATATCATATTGAAATGTTAATTATTAGCAAATAATTTATCTACTGTATAATATCTTAATCTAACTGTAACAAGTATTGTATTTCTAGGCCAATAACCCCATCTTGATCAGGTTTTGTTCAGTTTCCCTGATCCTTTGAGCAAATGCTGAGATGGCCCCTTGTTTGCTCCTGAACAGTAATATAACTTAGCTCTCTCCACCCAAGGCATCATATTGACTCGTCATACACGATTGTAATTGTATATGTGACTCAATAAATATTATTATCACAGAAAAAAAACTCTTTACATTATAATATTTGTCTTTCTACAGTGCATGTAAGTTAACAAATGTAGTGTAATATAACTTCCTTCCAATTGGTAGTGTACATATTCTTGAATCATAAGATTTATAATCAATAATAGCTCCTTGTAATTCTTAATAGCAAATCCTACTGCTTCACTACTTGCATTGGTTGCATACCATTACAGATAATATACTCTCCAAATTATTTTAATTCTTCTTCCAACACTTCTTGCATTGCTAATACCTGTATCTACTCAAAATTTCTTTGAGGCTTTGTAAACATTAGTCAGAGCTCGTCCTATTCACAGATAATACATTCCACATACCAAAATACAATCCTTTTTTCCTGATAGTCATTTTTTATCCATCCGGCTATAATTTTTAAGTTTCTGGGCAGTGATCTTTTGATGGTAAGTATAGTTAGCCCTATGACTATGGGAGACCAGGTTTTGTAAATGGATTACTCCTCTAGAGATTGGATTCACTACACCTTCCAGGGCTCTCTCTACCTATGGTTTTCCTTCCTTTAGCCTTTGGCCTAATTCCAACCAGCAAGGAAGTGGGAGCAACACTTATTTAATGGCGGTGCTTACTCGCCATGCCGCTAGGTAGAGTTTGTGTGGCTTTTAATAAATGTGATTTTGCCAACGATATTGTAGCCACCTTGCTCCGGGGAGGGGGGCTCAGAAATTATTGCCTTCGTTGACCCTAGTTTGTATATCTACTGACCATTTGCTATCCGCTAACTTGAACCTGCCCAGTAGCTGAGGCTTGCCCTGGGTATAAATAATTAAAATATCACAAGATGGAGGTGAGGCAAGGCAAGGGAAATTTCCTGACATAAAAATGCCAAAAATGAAGTTTGCAATACAGAATTATTTTTAAAAATTGTCAGTAAACAGATCACAAGATGTATAGTACTATTTATTTATATGCGCTTTTGAAGTAAATCAGCTGTTGACAGTTTCATCCAATTGGGAGCTTACATGTCATTACAGTTACATTCAAGCTCCCATATGGATGAAACCATCCACAGCCGATTTACTTCAAACGCATGTATAAATAAATCCAAGTTTAGTAGTGAAATTTTAGACAAATTATACTTCACTGTAAGATGCACTATTAACTACATCTTCAAAATTTCAATATAAATTTATTGCATTTCCTAACAAAGCTGCCTTTACATTAAATGTTCAACTTTAAAAACATTTGATATCACTTGACATAAAAATAATTTCATTCACAATTCATTCATTACAAAAACGTTCCAGTTGTACAAATCATTTCTGAATGATTTAAAAAAAAATATAAAGGATCAAAAATGAAATAGTATGGGAAAAGTTTTAAAGATAATTTATATGCAAATAAAAGTCAATAAAAGATTACCAATACTTATATTATAATATGCTTACAATAATGACCATGAAACTCTTAAGTATTTTCAAATGTTACATTAAATTATCACCAAATCTTCACCAAACCTTGATAGTGACCTAGTGTTGTAATGCATTTCAGGAAATAGGAGGGAAAGTTAAAAAGAAATGAGTATGTAGCTAAATAGTCCAATTATCTTCATTTACAAGACAATGAAAGACAATTTGAAACATGATACAAATATAGAACTGTAACAGAACATTCATGAAGCAAGTAACAGATAAAAGACATTCATTAATTCTGTATTAACATATTCACTCATATTAATTTTACTTCCAGGCATAACTGTGCATGTACAGCACCAACAATTGTCACATCTAATAGTCCACTAATTAATTGATGTTCCCTGCAGATAAATTGGCTATTTCATCCTAGGACTGATGACCCTGTACTCTGTTCCAGCTTCTCAATTACCCTAGTAGGAAAAATGCACAAATCTACATTATTTCATCACAGGGACACTATAAGAACACACACAAATTCTTTATGAAAAAACTGTTGTTTATTTCATTAAAGACCAGTCTTGAAGGTAAGTGTGTGAACCAATTTTTAACCTACAAAAACCATGAGAAATGCTGAAAACATGAAATAACTGAAGCAAGCTTGACATACAGATTAGATGAATACCCATGTGGTATACTCAAATATATACAGACTGTATTCAAGAATTTCATGCCATTAAAAAAAACATCACATATCCAGCATAACTCATACAAAATGTAGAGTACAGAGCCTCAGAAGCTTTAATATTATTCTTCAGGTTAGCACATCTTAGGGAGGAGCTGCACTACTGTGTAGGAAGATTCAACAAAATGTTCTGTCCAGATGGCAAGTATGACACCTGGCGTGACCTTGCAAGCTGGTAAGCAATATCTTCTGCAGCCTCTATGCGACGCAATTCAACAAGACCTTCCCCAGCTTCTCCAAATGACTTTGCCAATAACAATGCTGCTTGAGCATCACCCTCAGCTGAAATAACAGCAGCTTTTTTCTGCTGCTCTGCCTGGAATTACACACCCACATGTTAAAACAAATAAATTTAAGGTATCCCCAATTACACAACATTAAAGCATGCCTGAACAAATGTCAAAAAGAAGAAAAAAAAGCTCTAACAAAAATGGCAAGGTGTTGAACCTACCTTTTCCACAAGGAACCTAGCTTTTTCCGCATCTTGTTGGGCTACCTGTTTCAATTCCACAGCTTGTGTAAATTCCTTGCCAAAGGTTAAGTGTGTCTGAAAGAATTTTAAAAGAAAAATAAACTGAATGAAGTAACAAATGAGACAAGTATTTAAAATCAAAGAGGAATATTCAATTACAAAATACTGCATTAAAAGAGAAATGTTAGAAACAATTTGTTAATTCTTATTATTTTTATTAATAATAGAATTGGGAGGTATTGTAACTAGAGTATACATCATTAAATTAAAAATATACATCCAAAATATTTAAAATTAAGTATAGTAGAGCACCAAGTATGTCAATAAATAAACATTATCAAGAAAGGAAAAGTAAGTGTACGAGTAAAGACAAAGTAGTCTGTTTCTTACACTATACAGATATTTCTACAAACAAATCTTCACCATTTTAAATTTGGAGTCACTAGTAAGATCATACTATTAATATTGCAAGTGGATCATTATAAAACTTATACCAAGACTACTGGGCCTAATAATTGAATGTTTTACTTTGGTTATAGCATGAGCAATATTACTTACAAGAGAAATGTCATCCAAAATTACTCCAAATTGTGATGCACGTTCCGTTAAATCTTCACTCACTTTCTGAGACACAAGCTCTCTCTGAGTAATTAGTTCTCCAGCATCAAACTGAGCCTGAAAAGAAACATATGCCATTTCATAATGAGAAGGAAGATCTTCATTAGTAAATCTGTAAAATGAAATACACAAATAAAGACTGTAGGAGGTTTCTTGATAACAATGAACAAACTGAAAATCACAAAATAATACATTTCACAAAAGCAACAACCTTCTTGTTTATGGTAGCATAGAACACGGAGTTCAACTATGTGAGAATCTAATTATACTTTGACAAAAATTATAAGTTGGTAACCACAAAGCAAATTTCATGATGCTCATATGATCTACTATGTGCATGTTTACACACTTTAATATGAGATAAATGTTACTAAGTTATAGCTATAAAATTTTGGAGATAACAATCAAAACCACTGTATGTTTTGAATTTTACTTTATTGTGCACCTGAAACGGCATTTCAGTGGCATATTACATCATTATTTTTCCCTGATATTTCACAAAACTTTTAATTCTCAATCAGAAATTTAGTTTTTGTCAAAACTTCTCTGATTTAAAAGATTATACTGCGATTTTCCCAACTCTGCCCCTGGCAGCTATCGGCTGTTAACAATTTCATCCAATCGGGAACTTGAACATCACTGTAGTGATGTCCAAGCTCCTGATTGGATGAAACTGTCAACAGCCGATATCTCTCAGGGGAAGAGTTGCATAAATTACAGTAACATGATTCACAAACAAACTGTATACTAATAGCTGACTGTCATAATTTTAACACCGAATTTACACCATAAACAATAGGCATGCAATAACACAAAATACAAAAAGCGCTAGTCTGAATGGCTGAGATCATTAAGGCAGTAATGCAGAAACAATCTCAAACTGAAGGATCGCGGGTCTGAGCTCCACCTCACACATTGTTGTATTTCTGTTCATCCTTTCACCCTTTATCATCACCATATCACATCTTCACAATTACTATACTGTTAAATGTAATAGTGGTCGCTAATGACCTAGATGTTGATGTGACCTTAAATAACAAAAAATACAGGAAGAACATTTTTATTTTGCATAATCAAGAATGAGTTTTGAAGAGTGGTGATACATTACATATCCAAATACTTTCAAGAAAAAAATAAAATTGTCAATAAGAGGTTAGGTTCTGATATCTTGTTTACATGTATTTCATAATAGTCAAAAAATATAGAAAAATTGTAAAGTGACATTATCACTGTTCATAAAGTGAAGAAAGTATTTATATCTTATTTAGTGCATTGATCTCTATCCATAAAAATAGATTAAAGAAAAAAAGGGAAGCCGTTTTTGAGCAAATCATCATATATTTGTGAAAAAATCAATGATTAATGACAAGTGAAATGAAAATTATCAATACTTAAGAAAATGAAGTTAATTATCATTTTAATTCCCAATTTTGAAGAATCACTGCATTAACAATAAATCTTTAGTTTTAATAAAAGGTTAGAGTAATAATAGCGTAAAAGGTTTTTAAAAAATGAAATTTAATTACTTCCAGGTGTTAATAAAAACTGTGCTTCTACCATATTAATGAGCACAACATGATTTCTTTGAGCAAATGAATACCTGAATTAGTCATCATGAAACACAAATTTTGGTAAGGTCACCAGTGTTGTTTACAAGACAACTTTTAACCTCACTATCAGAATACCATTAAATATTCTGGTACCACCAAACACTCAAAATTCTTAGAGCAAAGGAAAATTATTTCAATGAAGGATCATTTGTTAAAGTTATCTTCATAAACAAAAGAACACGAATTGAAGGTATTATCAGCATTTAAAGGAAATTTCTCACCTTCTTTGAAGTAGCTTTGGACTTTTTAACACTTTCCTTCTGGAATTACTACAGAAGGGCAACAATATAAATTAATTGAAGGTATAAGAAGTGAATAACCTTCTAAGATATTAGCAACAATAAAAGTAAACAAAAGAAATCCTCAAAATTTGAACTGGAATGAAGAGGATTCATTAAGTATTTGTACTGATATGCTCCATAAAAATTTCCTCGATAGCAAAGAGGTAAAATTTCTTCATTATTTTATTATTTGCACTTACCACAACAGCTTTCAGAACTTCAGTTGTAATGGAAGGTAATACTCTCTCATCGTAGTCAACACCAAGAATAGTATAGATACGAGGCAACTGATCAGGAACAGGTCGAAATAGAATTCTCAATGTGATATTTACATTTTGCAGATCTGGAAATGAATACAATATGATAAATATATTGGTATGAAAGGATACGGTTACAAATTTAAGTGTAAATTATGTTACTCACCTTTGCTGCCCGTAATCACAGGTACATTTCTAGGTCGAGAACGTATATCAAAAATAATCGGCCTTTGAATCCACGGAATAATAAAATGAGTACCTTCTCCAACCACCTGGTTCTTCACACCCGCAAACCTATCAAATATGACGGCTCTGTGCCCTCCATCGACTGCATTGAAAATATACAATTAAAAGAGTGTTCAAAAAACAAAGTACATTTTCTACGTTTCACAGAAATACTGCGCTATTAAGTTACCATTGTACAGTGCAGAATTTGCTACTCCTCCAACTACGGCAAGCCCCAGGCCTAACTGACCAATTCTGTTGAAAAATTGTGCAGCCATCCTGACTTAGGGCTCCAATTCAACCTAAAATACAGAAAAAGACAAATTTTCCCCTCGCACAGTACTGAGATTCACAATCAGAACGTTGCTCGACAGAAACCCGGACATGCACGTATGTAAGCAACTTTCATAATTCAACCAATAGCATGAAATAATTTTAATTTAACGAAATATACACAGTATACAGACCTTTTTTCGTACAATTAAAGTAATTAACCGGCAAAATTACCACGATCTCAACGTGACTACGCTAAGAAGGTAAAACAATTGACAAACGCACAGCGATCAAATCTGGTGCAATCCAAAGAGTATTCTAGATTCATGACACTCCATGAAGAAATATTTCATCATACATCTGTGCTTCATTTTTTGTTCGTAAGAATAATGACAAAGTGACAAACAATATGGCCAAGAATTTTTTAGAGAAAATATGTAGATAATCCTTCTTATGCATGACATCACTTCATATCATGTTCGGTGTGGAAGAGAATTACAATTTTTTCTACGTTGGCACTATCGGCACAAAGCTGATGCAAATGCACGTACGGAAATAAAATTAGAACTAATGGTACCACAGAATGGCACAGATTTTCTTGTATTAATTTTCTATTTTCTGTAGCCTGTACTATACTTTGCTTTTTACAACGTGGCGCTTCAGGGCCCGTCTTCACGATGCAATATCTCACGGCATTTCGCGTCTTTTTCGGGTATACCGCTAGATGCCGCTAGACACATGCCCTGCTTGATACAGTGGGGATCATGCGCTATCTAGCAACATGCCTGAGAAAGATGCGAAATGTGAGATATTGCATTGAGAAGACAGGCCTTGAAATTTTCATTTAAACATTTTTTCCTTAAATTTCTTTGAAGAATAGAGTAATATATACACTTATAAACGTGTCATATGTCCAATTTTTACGGTTAACTCTGAATTTTCGAAAATTGCAAATATTTGAATTATTTCGGCGTCTTCCTACAACTACAAAATTAAAGATAGAAGATTTTCCTTCAAATACAATTTTTCGTTCATAAAAAGTTCTTTCATTTAGGTCATGTACATTTTTTCAAAATTTTAGGAGGTTTCGCGCAATATTGCGTGCAATGTGTGTAATATAAAATGTATTTCACTCTATTATTTCAAGGAATTTCACAACAAAATTTCGAACCATATTAGAGGAAAATTCGAAAATGTCCCAGGGTCTTTATGTAAAGTATCCAGAAATTTTAAATTATTTAAAAAAAAAAAAAAATCACAATGCTTCGACTCGAGCCAGGTCGACAAGGGTTTCTTCAATTTGGAAAAACATTCGACGCATGGTTTAGGTGCTAATGGTGTTCACAAACGGACAGACGGAATGACGTTTTGCCGTCAATAGGTTTTTCGGTATCAATGACCTACAAAACAGGGATTCTGGTTGCACCACGTGTTAGAGTAGTTTTTCTTAATTTAGCAGATGGATTTATCTACTTTTTCGTTATTAAGGTCCGGCAATGCGTTTTTTCTGCTGAAAATCCTCCATTTTTCGCGCAGCATTACTTAACTTTCTCTATACTACGTGTATTACTCCGTATATATGTACGTGTACGAGAAAGTAACCACAGAGCTAAGTTCTAGTGGTTTTGCCTCTTCTTATAGAAAACTATGGTGCTACAGAATGTCAGACTTTTTCTTATTCGATTTCTATTTCCTTTAGTTTCGGCTAGTTATTCGGACTTGCCATTTACTCTTGCCAGCTGTCATCTATCCACGCCCTAAGTACATTTTTTTTTTAAACTTCTAATTTTTGATTTCCTAATAACAGAATGGAAATATTATTTTATGGATATAAAAGAACAGTAAAACTATGCCCGAAATTGAAATTTTCGTTGAAAAATTTACAGCCGTTTTTAAGAAATTGACGCTTTGGCGCTACTGTAAAGTTGAAATTTGAAGCTGTTTACAGAAAATTTTTGATTTCGAAAAGCTCACAAATACAATAGTGTTTACAAATTGCTGGAAATGCGCATATTAACGGCGTGAGAGATCTTTCGAAAAAATAAATATTGTAATTTTTGTAAAAAAATAGAAATAAAAACAAAATCAACATCACGCCGTATTAAATAGTGCTATTAGCACTATCAGTTCGAAAAGTTTGAAGAAAAAATTCGAAGCTGTTTTTGAGAAAATGGCGTTTTTGCGTTTCTGATAATGAGAAATTTTTAGCTAGTTTTCACAGAAAAAGTTGAGTTTTGAGAAACTTTATATGACATTATGTAAAGCACATGTACTCATAAATATAGTAAGAACAAATTGTCGCTAATGAAATATAAATGACGTGGTATACATATAAAGAAATACATTTTTGTAATTTTGGAAAAAACAAAAGAATAATGCAATATGGCATTTATGTCATCTTACAGAGTACACTAACACTTGGCTGAGGTGATATGTATCAGTGGAGTGTAAATTGAGAATTGTGACTTTGGCATATAATTGCCCGTCATCCATCCACAGCTCTAAATTCTTACCTGAACGAAGGACTACCACATTTAAAGCTGTGCAACTTGCATGTAGCTGAAAGCCAATTAATTGGAGAGTTTTCACCACCAGTCAGAAAGAAATGACGGCATTAAAGTTAATACATGTATTTGTATGACCTTTTAAAAATTGCACATAACTACTTTTGCACTAATTTCAACCATTAAAAAGTTATTAAGCAAAAACAAAAACAAAAAAAAAAGACCGAAAATTATTTGTTTTTTGGCTACTAAAACTTGTTCTGAAATATTGCAAGGTGCAAAACTTAGGGTTTTCTTACTAATCACAATGTAAACAAAAAAATCTTCTACCTCAACTTTTGCAAGGTGGACCCCCTTATGGCTCCAATCGACTGCACTAATTTGATAACGTCTCAGATTGATTTACTTTGCGGTTTTTCCCGCCATTTTTTCTCGTTTTTTCCCGCAGCATTACAATACTTCCCGCAGCATACAATCTCTATTCTGCGAAAGCAGTAGCGAGAAAGTTAAAATTAAGAGCCGTGCTTGAGAAATTCTAGTTTTTTATACTTTTTAATATTACCCATGTTTCAGTCAAAATTGCACGAAAAGTGCTAAAGTTTCTAAAAACCGTGCATGATGTTAATAAATGGACTAATTAAGGAGAACAAATTTCATTGGAAGAAAAAATCGCATTGTAATTGTAAGACGACGCCCAACAAAAATTAATATTTTAGCATTCAAAAATTCAGGGTTAAAAGAGAAAATCGGACCTATGTTATCTGTATACTTGTAAATGTATTTGACTCTATTCTTTCGACAATTTTAAAGAAAAAATGGAGCTTCATGTAAAATACCCACAAAATTTAAATATTGTTTTTCAAATTCACAGAGATTTGAGTCGGGTCTGATCAAGCGGCAAATATTGATTTTGAAAAAAATTCTTCGAATAGATTAGTCACTAGTTTTGTTCACGGTGTGGCAGCTGAACGGAAACTTTGCCGTAAATCAAGTTTTCTGTATCAAGTACCCACTAATTGTGGATTCAGGATCACATGACATGTTAGAGCATATTTACATGCCATAGAGTTTATTCCAAATTAGAGCAAGTTTTATCCGTTTTTTTCTGTATCAAGTCCCCACAATTTGAGTTTGTTTGTCGTAAAATAGTCGTTTTGTGCCGCAGCATTATATTTCCCTATTACTCCGTATTAATGTATGTATACGAGAAAGTTGAAATGAAGGAATTCCACATATATTTTTGAACCAGATAGATGATTGTTCTCAAATATTGGACTTTTGAAAAATCGAGGAAAGAGATGGGAGGAAGTTGGACGTGATACCGAAATGTTTTCTCAAGTTTGGTTACAACCCAAAATTGGTGTTACTGGAGATTTGTTGCTAGTTGTTTCTGGGGGAAGGAGGTGGGCGAGATGGGACTGGCCTGTGCCAGGCTTCGAGGAGCGTCCAGCGCGATAAAGATACATACTTCAACCTGTTTTATTATAAAATTAGTTACTGTTTGAGTATATGTATTAATTGAAATCGACCTGAATGTCTGTACCTGGATATTCAGTACACGATACGTACATATTTGAATACCTACAAAAATTAACAAAGCAATGTATTAAGGTCGAACACTATGTTAACGGAGGCCTAAATTTGTTAAACCTAAGTATTGTACCCATATTTGTATCCTCAGTTAATTATCAACAAAGTGTTAACTATTCTTAAATCAATGTACCGACCGCTTTTGAGTTGCTAATAACCTCAGATGTTGATGCGACTATAAATAAATTAAAAAAAAATACTTCAACCGGTTTTATTATAAAATTTGCAGAGTAGGTATTCATTTGCAGAGGCGCTCTTGTAAATATAATAAAAAAAAACACTAGTTTCTATGGAAAACATTATATTGTAGCAGCTGAAGCATTTTCCATCGAACTTGTCATATTTAATATATGTCTAAAATATTCTTCTCCGAAAGATAATTGAAACTGTATTAATATAATTAAGTAAGTTGTAACAGCTCCAATGATCTGAAAAGAAAAAAAAATATATATTTTAGGCAGAGTATTTAAATCTGAAACTTCAATTGAGATACTCGTATTATCAAAGTAACTTGGTTGCTAAATAGGCGAAACAATATATAAATGTTACAAAAATTAAATAAATATTACAAAATTCTAGGGCAGAGCTGTACAACTTTGAAGGGAATATGGGTCACATATCATATTCTAGTTAAGCCGCGGGCCGCGCTGTAATTTAAGATATATATTACTCTAACTACTGAGATTATATTTAACACTATATAATAATAACTACTGAAACACACACACACACACACACTCACTCACACACACACATGTGTATATATATATATATATATATATATATATATATATATATATATATATATATAAAGATACGACTTTTATTCGGTATACTTTATGATTAATGTACATACAACGAGAAAATTAATATACGAGTATCATTAAAAAAAAAGATGAATTGTGAAATTATTCAGTGAGAAGATTGAGGGCGGTCAGCTTCATTCACCAACGATTAATGTTCTCTTTCAGCTCCGTTGTAGCCAGTCTCATTAAGTGACTAACTTTAGAATCAGTGAGGTTACTTCTATTTTTATTTTTAATAAAATTCCTAGTTGAAAACACACTGCAGCCAAACATTGATGTCATCCTCAGCTCAGTCTCGCAGGTTAGGAAATCTTGCTTGATGCAAGTGTTTGAACAAATCAGGTTCCATTTCTTGCGTTGCCTGAAAGAAAGGATCTGCCTGCAGATCACATAGTTCCAGTTGAATGCGAGGTTCCTGCTCTTCAATATTAACACCAAGATACTTTTTAAACACACGATTACTTGTTTCTAAACCTTTCATTTCGTTAAATCTGTCACACTCTTTAATAATTGTTTAAATATATAAAGAGCAGCCAGAAAACTATATAACTAGATTCTGACCTTTAAATTCTTCATTATTTGATTGCAACTAAGAAAATGTGCCAATTTTACTTTTTGTAAGGCATTTTTGAAAATTCTCTGCTTGTTTTTGAAACTTCATTTCTCCACCATGTTTGATATCAACTTATTTATTCCCTGAAGGGATATATTGAAGTTGTTGGAGTGGTTTGTTAAGTCAGTAAGAAATGCTAACTGCTTAAAACATTGTGTCTTTTTAAATTGTATTAGCAGATTTCTTCAAAGCAACAGATTCCTTAGAAATAACTTCCTTAGAAATTGTGCGTACAAATATTAATAGCTGAGCTACATCTGACTGGTCAGTAGTTTCATCAGATACAGAGAAAAATAAGGCCTTTTTTAACAAGACTTAAAATACATTCTGCTATGCGTTTCCCCATGTGAATAATTCTTCTTTGTGCCGTTTGATTTGAAAGAGGTACTGACTCAAAATTTTCTGCTAGTTTAGCGACTTCAATAGTTTTTTTGTATTTCAATAGCACGCCCTTTAACTAAAGTACCATCAGTAAAAGTTTCTTTTCACTTTGGTGATCTCAAGAGAAACTGCATAAGCTGCACAGTGAGAATATGTTTGGTTGTGTAACATGTTTTGAAACATACCCGTTTGTTGTTTCAATTTGCTTTTCAGATCACCAATTACACGTCTTGATGCTTACTTGCAGTTCCCATACTTGTTCTCATGTATTGTCGTATGATGTACTTTTACCCTATTTTCCTTAGGCATTGAAACAACTTGCATGCATATATAACACTATAGTTTTCCATTACTCATTGCAATGAAGTAATCAAATTCCCAACTGTCTCTGTAAGCTCTATTCTCACTCTCAATTTTACCATTGACTGACTTTCCCCTCATATTAAAAATTGAAAACAAGAATTGATAACTCCACTTGTCCAATAAAAGCCACGCCTGAAGTTTTAATCACAATAACACAATCTGTGAAAACTGAACTGATGTGAACCGACGAAACACACTGCGAAACCGAACGACCCCTGAACGACAGTGTGAGTGAGAGAGAAGAATCAGGCAACGTAATCGGACGAGTCCATGTTCTGACAGTAGGGGGTGGACGCCCATCGGAACTCACAGTGCAGGCGAAAACGGTTTGACGAACAATACAAAGCATTATAATACAATCTACAACCTATCAGCTATCTCTACAACAAAAGCCCTTCAGTAGACTGCTAATGTTAAGGGGTTCTTCACATTTATAACTCCTGTTATGTAATTATAAAAATACATAACAGAATAACTAAGAAACGTTCTTGATTGGTGTAATATAATTTTAAATCAGCCGCGAGCCACACAAAAAGATCCGGCGGGCCGCATGCAGCCCGCGTGCCTCTAATTGGAAAGCCCTGTACTAGGGCATGCATTTTGGTAAAAAAATATAACTTTTTTCCTATTAACATTTAATAGGAAATTTCATAAAACAGAGTTACACACGTGACATTGCACACGTGATATGTGTGATTTTTAGGCAATTTATGTTTGAGAAGTTCGGCATTCTGACGCAGTCAAAATTTCGCGTTCCTGCCAGCATCTGTGAATACGGGCAGCCTAACAAATAGGGAAAATGTTACATGTATAAATATATTTAATGTATTAAACGCTCAGGGGATGGACAAAATAGTAGGAACACCATGCAATATAGTATATCATTTTGCATGTGGACGCCACTGCGGGCATGTAAACTCTGCGACGCGGCTACTTTGCACAGTTGATGCGCCACTTTCTAAAAGTTATATGGCACTGTGTTATTGGCGTTTGTCTGGAACGGTGAACCCCAGCAAATCAGTGAAATGTGTGATCCTTCAGACTTTGAAAGAGGGCAAATCGTAGGTTCTCGGTTCGCAGGAGCATCTGTTACGAAAAGAGCAGAACTGTTTAACGTTTCACGAGCTACAATGTCCAAGGCAATGACGGCATACACAAAATACAGTAAAACATAATCGGCGAAGAGGAATAGTGGGCGAGAGCCGAAGTTAACTGGCAGAGAATGACGAGGATTAAAAAGAATTGTGGCCAGACATAGTAAAACTACCGCGGTAAAAGTGATTGTAGAGCTCAACACTCACTTGAGTATGACTGTTTCCACAAAAATTGCCTGATTTAGTATGGAGGACCCCAAAATCAGCCTACGATCCGGCCTATGCTTTCTACTGCCAAGCATGGGGGAGGTTCCGTTGTAATTTGGGCGTCTACATCGTGGTATTCCGCTGGTCCTATCATTATCCTCATTGGCCGGATTACTGTGAACGAATAATTTGTCATCTTCAAAAGTGAAGTGCCTGTAAAGACTACCATATTTCAAGATGATAATGCGCCCATACACACAGCAAAATCATCACAGAATCATCAAACATCTTTCCTGGCCAGCACAATCGCCAGACCTCAACATAATTGAACGGTTATAGGGCGTTTTAGAGCAGAGTGATGAGCAGATTTCTAGTTCCAATATGGTTGAAGCAATTGGCGGATAATTTGGTTCAAAAATGGGAAAACAATTCTGTTGGAAACTATTCAGACACTCTACAAATCTATTTCGCGACAAATTTCAGCTGTTCTAAAGCAAACTGTTGCCCAGCACTTTAATAATAAATATTTTGTACATGTCAGGTGTGTATATTATATCCAACCAGTACTTCTCAGCAAATTTTCGCCTGCAAAAAGTTATTCTTTAGGCCCTTCTACATTCTCTAGATTTTTGTGATATTTGTTAAGAGATATGCCTATACTTCTCATTATCTTAAAAATTTGGATATTTGAATTAAATATTCTTTATGAAATTCTGAGTTCTGATATGCTCGTAGGTATGAGATACTTTCGTTTCAGTTGGGAACTTACCGCATACAACAAAGAAAAGTCCAAAGGAAAGAAACCCCAGGCTGAGAACTGCACTTTGCGATGAAGCAGTTGCAGAGAAAATATTTCCAACTGTAACAGTAGGACAAATTCATTTGAGTTTATCACCTGACACAACGAAAGTGATCAGTTGCATTTTATGGCTATCAGAAAGAGAAAGAAACGAGATAAGTTGTGAGAAATACTTTGAGAATTTTAATATATTTAAGTTGTTAATAATAATAATAATAATAATAATAATAATAATAATAATAATAATAATAATAATAATATATATATATATTTCTGGCGAGGCTTAAGCCGTAAGGCATCCTATTCCGCCTAACCACTTAAATATTTACATTTTCATAATTGAAAATTAGGGTGGAAATAATGTTAACTGACATTACACGTTACTTACGAAAGTAGATCGTATTAAGTAACGGAAATATGTTGCACAAAATGTTTGAATGTATTATGGTCCATTTTTGTGGACTCTAAAAGCTAACATGATATAACAGAAACAGAAACCAGGAAGATGGACAAGATAATTACAACGTAGCAAGAAAAGATGATACAATACAAAGAGTATAATGATATAGATGAGCTTTCAATGATTTCATATTTATTACAATGCTAATAATAGAAGCAGTTTATTAAGGGCAATAATGCTTCATATAATTTCCTCATACAACATTTTTATTTAAAATTAAAGGCTATGAGGTAATGCATGAAAACCTTATTGTCTAATATGTAATATACTATCTTGCATTAGAGCATTGTATTAGACAGAAGATATGTCGTTATGGCTTTACGTGTATGGTTTCGTAATATGGGCTCTAATGAATAAATTGACTTTAAAAGTCTCACCATTAGAATCTACAATTGAGATAGTCTGTTCAGAGCGCAATATTTTGTCGGATCTTTTGAAATAATTTCAGTCTTGGGCATCCTTCTAATCTTCAATATACTAAAAATAATAAATCCGTTCGTAACATCACGTTATTTATTCACGTATTGACAGCTTATACGAATCAACAACATTAAATTGTTTTGTATTGACAATTTTTACCAACATATTTGTATAAGCTGTAAATATGTGAATAAAATGACGTTGTGATGTTATGATCGAATTTATTATTTTTTAGTATATTAAAGAACAGAGATATTAATTCAACAAATCTGCATACTTTGTTAATACACACAGGTGTCTCAGAACAAATATTAGAAACTTCTAGATGTAGACGGGTCGAAAAAATTACTTTTTGCCAATAAACTTTTGGTGGGAAATTTCATATTGCAAAGTCACACATGTAACACTTGCACTGATTGGTAGGCAACTAATTATATACACGTGTTCGGTAGGTCACTAACTGAGGCAGTCAGGACGATTTCGAACACTCGCCGAAAACATGTGCATGATGGGTTGCCGAGCAATGAGGGAGAAATATCTCATTTGTAATTTTGTAATATGAAATTTACCTCGAGATGTTTGTTGCCAAAAAGCCATAATCTTTGATCTCCCTGTATACCGTAGAAGTTTGTGACATTTATTATAAACACCTGTATTTGTACTAATATTCAAATTATTACTGACGAACCACTAAATGCTTGCCTATCGTTGTTTGATATAGTTTTGTAAATGCCATATAGGTGTTGTGGTAAGATATCTTTGGCATTTTTAAAATAATTAAAGATGTTGTCATTGCCAACAATGTTTTTTAATTCAAAAGCAGCTTTCGATGGCTTAGTCACTAAGATGACTAAGTCATCGAAAGCTGCTTTTGAATTAAAAAACATTGTTGGCAATGACAACATCTTTAATTATTTTTGTAAATGCCAGTTAATGAGCATTGACGACTGAATACAGTTATGTATTTACAGTTAATATTTAAAAATATAGTTACATATTTCATTTTTTATTTTTATACAATCAACGAATATTTAGAATTGAGAGAACGTAAAACTTTACAGAGTAAAAGAACTTTCTCGTGAATAAAATTGCGTTCCAAGCTAACAAAAAGCTCTTCACTCTCTTACTTCTTTGCGGATCTCTGCGTCGGTGAGCTGATTCAGAAGACGGTGAACGATGGCAGCTGTTCGATTTCCCTGAACACACAAATGACAAAAGGCAATATTTCGAAAAGTAGTGTGACGAAGGTTTTATCTAAGGATCTGGCCAAAAACTGTACCTTCTCATTTTCATATTGTGTTTACTGTTTTTAAATTATGTAAATAATAAAGTCATAAAATGTGTGTGTACAGAGCCAATATATTTCTTAGAGAACGTAAAGTGGACATAATTTTGAAATTATTTTAGCACATAAATGGACACTTGACACCTCCACATGCCTTAGAAGTTCAAATCATTTATCTATGTAACTAATTTATGTTTTCTACCTTATCTAACTATACTCCATCTATCTACCTACATACGGACCTGTTTACGTATCTACGAGTGTGTATATTAGATGATTCATTTGTATTAAATTGGCCGTTATGGAAAAACGCCACTTCTGGACACGGTGTGGGAAATTTGTCATACATGTGTGTGTATGTATATCGACAGAGATAGTTATTGTACAAGGGTTGTTCTTGTTGTTGCTGCTGCAGACATATCATCTTCCTCAAGAAAGTAGGAATCTCTACCGGTTTAATGAGTTTCTCAGGCAAATTTGATGAAAAAGAATCATAATAGAGAAACTCTTAAAACAACTTGCGCTACTTTTTGTTTTTAAGAAGTTTGTGTTTTTTAAACCACTACGTTGTATAGAGGAAAGTATATAATATTGCTGTAAAAACTGGTATTTTTCGACAGAAACATCTGTATTAAAGGTCTCTGATACTGAAACAGTGGATAATTCTTGTTCCTATATGTCGTAAGTTACTTCATCTAACACGTTGTGGAATTAGAATACACGTTTTGTGGATCCTTGATAACGAAAAACTGGTTTACGGCCAAAAGTCTGTCCGTCTGTGACGAACAATAGCCACTAACCCGAAGGCAGAATTTCCACCGAAATTGATATTTTCCAATCCATCTGGTTATCGTGGCGGTCTCTTGAATATGAAACAGATATTATGATTTTAGAAGGTAGGTACATTAGACGAAGCTTCAATGACAATTTCAAAATTTCTCAAAACTGCCTGACACTTTTTGCTCGGATAGTGCGAAGTACGCTTATAATAATGGCGCTTGTTTGGTTTTCCAAGAAGTCTCTGAACTAAAATTGTAAAAGTTATAAAGAATGCGGGTAAAGTATTTGCAATTGTAACACCACTAGTTTTATTCCTTAATAATGCAAGCGTTTAATTTCCTCCCGTTCTATTTGACGAGCTACATCTAATGTTATAAGGGGAAAGAAGCCGCGTCGTAGGCCCAGGGGCCTAGGACAGAGTCTAGGCAGACACCTGTGTTAACGACGCAGTCAAGTAGTTACCGACGCCGGCCGCAGAAGCCTACGGTCTCCAGGTGGGGCTTACCCGTCAAAAACTAGTCGTTCAACATCACCACATACTTCCTTAAATTATTTGCCCGACCTTGGCGGCGGCGGCGGTGCAGCCCTCGACGATGAAGACGAGGTTGGCGGTGAAGCAGCCGACCCAGCACACGGCGAGGACGGTCATGGCGTTGGTGACGAAGGCGCTGAGGTCGTCGGGGCAGAGGAGGCGCGAGACGACGCTGTAGGCGCCGATCACCACTTGCACGTAGGAGTGCGCGGCGATGAGCAGCAGCGCGCAGGCGTAGGCGGCGTTGAGGTGGCGCGCAGCGCTGCACAGGCGCGCGTGGCGACGCGCCAGCTCGCGCACCGCCCGCACGCAGCCCTGCCACGCCACGCCCAACCGCAACGCCAACATACACACAAGCATAACGTATGCACAGAAGTGAATAGACTGAAGTATTCTCAACATCTAACATAAACGCAAGCAAAATAAGAGTTTCTATCGGCTTTGAGACATTCTAGTTTACTATTGGTTGGCTGTAAGAACCGATTTCGATATATCGACAGTGTTCTTGGTCCATGCGTTCTATTTAATTTAGAGGCAGAGACACACAAGACGGTGAGTGAGTTCTCTGTGACTAGAACGAATCTATGCAGTACACTTCAGTTGTACTCTCTGATCTTTTGGTCGTCCAACGCCATCTAGTGTTGGTTCGTGTATCGTCTTGGATGGTATTTCCATACCCGATTTTGAGTTAACGCACTGTGAGTGATTCATTTCTGATGCCTTACTTAAGAACAAACCCAGCAGCTTGAAGCTTGCAAGCTTTTAAGTTAACGTCTTACGTGGTATGCTTATGCGAACGCATTGGGAATGAGTCCTCTTATGGTGGTAGTCCTAACATTTATGTTAACGCCATGCTTATGTTAATGTTTGCATTGTGAATGGGCCTTCATTGTGTTGTATCTACATCACGCGAGGGGATAATTCCCCTTTTCACCGCCAGAGGCTGGACGGTCGGCAGAGGGCAGCGAGCGCCTGCGACGTCGCGAGGAGGCGGCGGCGCGAAGCGGCACGCGCCAGTGGGAAGGCGACACTTCCCATCCGCGCCTGGGAGTGACTAGGGGAAGGGGCTCCTCGCCACACAGCAGCTGTGAAGGACGTGGTAGATGGCACGCCTGGTCACTTTCGGCTACCTTGCAAGTTCAGGTTGCTCTGACAGTTCGGCAAGGACCAGTGGCTAGTTTGTACGGGCAGAATTGTATTGCGTATAACCTTGGCTACAGACATGTATTTCTATGGAATTGTGAATAGAGAAGAAGTGAATTGAGTGCTGCATTTCATTCCATTATAGCAAGGTACACAATAAGGAACCCAAGCCGCTCAGTTCTTATTTCGGGAGGCTCCTTGGTGGCCTCTTGGATACTTCATGGTAGTGCCCGATACCCATGGGAATTGGGTAGGGATTTTCCTCCCAGTGCTTATTTATGGGCAGCACTTAAAACCAAACTCCGGGGCTAAGCTGGAAACCTAGTAGCTGTAAGCAGGCAGTGGGAAGGTCTCTAAGGCTGCGTGCCGGCTGACGCGGCTTTCAACCTGAAGGTGGCAATGTGCCGCCTGACGGGGTGCGGATATAAACCGGAAAGGGAAAGGTGCTCACCCGCAGCTTGTTCTTTGAAACAATTCAGAGCCGTAAGTGGGCAACCACAAACGGTGAAGATTGATGTCTCACCAAGGGCAAATGTTTGATCCCGCCGGGGCCCGAGCACGGAACCATTTGTTAAGAAGGTAAGTGATCCATGTGCAGAGCTGCGGACTCTTAGGTTGAAGGGTGAATTGATTGATTGAGTAGTGATTCCGGGCGCGTCGACTGCTAAGGTCATTAGTTTGGGAAGTGGAAGGCATGTTTGTATCGAAGGAGGTGACGATGATCTCCCCTGCGAGATCCGGCACCGATCTACGCCTGCTGGCGGGGATTTTCCCCGGCCAGGGTGTCTCCCACCAGCGGGGCACCTTCCCAGACAGGACAAACTAAGCCTTTCTCTGGTCTCCTGACATATGTGGTAATGTAGTGCATGTGTGTGTGTGTGTGTAAGGGGTGAGGTTGGGTCAAGTAAAAGAAAGGATAGATCGCCTCTGTCGGGACTAAAAATCTTGCCACTGTCGGGATTTGAACGTGAATACCTCCTGGTCAGACGCTCTGGAGTGACATCAGTTGATGCCTTTCCTGGTTTGAAGGGTAAAGATGAACGAAATGGAATCACACACACTTTAATATTATTGGATCTGACTTCACCTTGTTTTTAAGAAACAATTGTTCCCAAGGACAATGAGTGTGTCATCCCATTCCCTTCATCTTCATCCTTCATTTTGTAACGCAAATAAGAAAATACGTAAAGTTGTTTCTTAACTATATTTTCCTTTGCTTTTTATCGGGATCCTTCTAGTAGCCTTTCGAACAGTAAATCTCGGGGACAGAAATGGGTTTGGGTGTTTCTAGTGAGCAATAAGAATACCCGTGGCCGGCTATTCCTTACTACGGCTCGACTAACTCTTCTTCTCTATGACTGTTGAAGTTTTGCCGAGGTTCCTGGCTTCGGTGTCCGCGATAAAAATTCTTATCAACTCGGGTCCTCTATCCACATTTCCGTCACTCACGGTTGCGCCCCTTCCGGCCCACTAATCGACACGAATGAGGTGGCATTCGAAGCGTCACGTTCTCCTTATGGAAAACTGACAATTGTTTCGTATTCTACAAGTACATTCTGATAAAAAAATTGGGGGGCGGAAGGTAAGCACCTAAAATGTTTTTCGGATGTTTTAAGGTACCTACAGATGTGTTGTATTATTGAATTTTTGATTATTTTTCACGTACTGCGTCCAAGGATGAATAAGTCAGACAACTATGTTTTAAGTTTATTTTTTATCAAGAACTTGCGTAGTAGAAATTTTCAAAATATGTAAATATAGTTACTTTTAAAACATACTTTTAAAACGTTTAAAGCGTCGGGGACGTCACATTCAACTAGTAAAATATAATTTCCGACGCGATAAATACCTAAATAATTGATAAAATAAATCTCATTTCATTGTAATTAAAATAATGTGTATGTTGTTTGTACATATCACCATTTAGCGCTCTCTTATTCAACCTGCACTCGGTGAGGAGGCTCAGGGCAACAACTATTACGAATATCGCGTCTCGGACTTGGTAGTCCTGTGTTTGAGTCACGGCAGGGGCGGCATTATCTACGTAGTTAGATCGAATTTTCCATTGCCTCAAGGGTAATTCTAGGGGACGAATGAAAAATTCGATATAATTTGGTTATCTGGAATATCAGTTATAAGATCTTCGCGACAAGATAAATTAAATATATGTTTAAATGAGGTACTTCCTTTAGGTTACAACATTGAGAGAAACCTTTACGTTTGTGCGAGCCCTTGAATTGTTTTCATTCCTACCTGAGCGCCACCTGGGCTGTCCGCTTGAGCCAGGAGGCTCGAGATCCCCGACTCCTTGCCCCCCGTCGCGCCCGCCGCCATCTTCTTGAGCTGGAGGTTGACGTCGGCGAAGAAGTGTGTGAGCAGGAAGGTGAAGAAGTTGACCTGGCAGGAGGTGAAGCAGATGAGCATCATGACGAGGGAGCTGGAGGTGAAGCCGCAGAGGGCGCACAGGGCGCACACGTGGCCGACGGAGACGATGGCGGCGAGGTTGGTGGCGCCGATGACGACGGCGCCCGCGGCGCAGGCGAAGCGCGTGCAGCGGTGCAGCGTGCGGCAGACGGCGGCGCCGCCGGGCACGTCCTCTCCCAGCACGTGGAACTCGCGCAGCAGCGCGCCCAGCCGCGCGCGACTCGCCAGCGCCCACGCGTACAGCCCTGCGCCGCACACAGTGTCAAGCTGGCACATCCAGTGCAGCATAATCACACCAAACCAAATTGTACTCATTTTTTTAACAATAGGCAACAGTTAAATATTTCTGTTTGCTTCGGGGTGCAGCTTTTTCCGGTGTGAGAATTATGTTCTGCTGTTAAACATAATGGTGCGTTATAAGCAAATGAATCCAACTACGTACTTGAAAATGCAGTCGATGTTTATAAAAATCGATTTCACTAAGAAACACTAAAAAAAACATCACATTTCACTAAGAAAAAAATGTATCTTCACACATGTAGTTTTTCGAATAATCAGGCATCCTAACGAACATGAGAACTGCACAATTCTCTTAAGCGTCCTTGCGTTATCAAAGGTCCAAATTTAACAAAAAATGTGCCGTTTAAAAAAAATGGGTTAAAGAAAATAAAAATTGTTTATGTTTGACACAAAATTTCGCCAAAATACTCACATTTCCGAAAAATTGAACTTAGTCTTATTTAAAGATCTGTTTTTGTTGAACACATTTCAAGAAGAAAAAAAATTATCTTCATTATTGTAGCTAGAGGAAGGCGCTGAAACAAATTTGAATTTTTACAATTTTCAAAAATCAGAATTTAAAGAAAATGTAGGCTTTAGAGTTCAATACGATATCCGAGGTCAACATGTCATCAAAATTGTGTCATTTTTGAGAAAAAAAAGTTTACGCAAAATTAAAATAGACTCGAGCCAGATGGACAGGGGTTTCTTCCATTTGGAAAAAATCTACGCATGGTTTAGGCGCTAGTAATGTTTACAGACAGACAGGCGGCCAGACGGGCGGCCAGACGGCCTGACAGACAGCCTGCCAGAAGGTTTGCCAGAAGGCTGGCCAGACGTTTTTAAAAGAACTCCTTTTTTGTATCAGGGAACACCAAAACGTTTATTTCCGTGGAAATCTCCAAATCGATTTTCTGCAGAATTACGTAACATATAAAATTCCATATATACGTACATATACCGGAAAATAGAAAGGGGAGGAGGATGAGAGAAAAGAAGAAGAGATTTTTGATTCATCTTGACACTATGTTCTGTATTCTCTTAACGAATCAAGTATTCTCCTTTTATTTATTTATCGCTTAGACAGTGGGTCTTGGCTACTAGTGCCAATAAACGAAGGAGCAGTTGAAGTTCTCACCTTAAAGAACATCGGTGGCAGAGCCGAATTAGACCTTGATGAGGAACATGAAAAAGAAGAAACAGTTAGTGTTCTTACCTAGAAGGGCGACGTTGGTAGAACCAAAGTAGGCCTTTATGAGAAACATGACAAATGAGGAAGCAATTACGGTTCTTACCTAGAAGGTCGACGGTGGCGGAGGCGAAGTAGGCCTTTATGAGGAACACGAAAAAGAAGAAACAGTTCCTGTTCTTACCTAGAAGGACGACGGTGGCGGAGCCGAAGTAGACCTTGATGAGGAACATGAAGGTGGAGAGGGCGGGCACTGCCAGGTGCAAGCCGTGCTGCACCATGGCGCCGACGGTGATGAGGACGCCGACGACGGCGACGACGGCGCAGAGGACGACGGCGGCGGCGGAGGAGTGCAACCGCGGGCGGCGGAGGGCGTCGCGGCGCACCGCCCCGACCAGCAGCCCTACTGCCCGGCAAGCCAGCAGCAGCGGCGCCGCCGCCGCCGTCACGTCCAGCGGCCCGCTCTCGCCCTCGCCCTCGCCCTCACCCTCGCCTTCGCCAGCCCCCGCGCCCTTCTCCGCCTACGGCCCAAGATGCCAACTTATTAACAATCACAACGTACGCAATACAGAATTCTTTGAACCTTTCTGGTATATTTAATGGGAGACAACTGCTCACTATCAAACCCAATGACAAGACCTGGAAAATCAGCGACTAATTCAAATTTCAATACATATACATAAGTGTTCAAGTGTCTACCGGTATATCGCCGAGTGCCCTGCATTGCCACTATAGTATTTGGTGTTACTGATTAACTCGGAATACGACGAATTAGTCGAATTCGTAAAATGTCCGAATCAGGGCGGTGAGTCTCAAAACATTAATCGCTATCCGATTTTTCTTACCGCCCTTCATCCACTGGCCAATAATAACCTGCGACCAATCTATCTTAGGTGGTGGTATGTATCGATCGCTGTGCTGTTGCGCAATAAACCGAGTATATACTATGACATAACAGCTTCGATTTTAACAAGCTTCCAGTAATTTTGAATATTTGAAATGCAATATGTTTTAATGAATGCAATAGTTTTTAAGAAATGGTTCATTTTAAATATGGCAAAATAAGTTTTCTGAAAAATAGAGTATTTAATAAAGAAATCGTAATAATTAATTAATTATTGTTCGAAATTAAAAATTGTGATTAACTTAAAGAATTTAAAAGAAAAATTATAAAATAGTACATAAAAGCAGAAATATATTCTGTTCATAGATAATAGAATATACCTATAGGCAAAGGCAGAGAGGGCAAAATAAATCAAATATATATATATATATATATATATATATATATATATATTCATTTAAAAATCTGGTGTATAAAGTTGGAAGTAGCATCCGTTTCGAAATATCTATAGTTCGGACTCTGGCCTCATGAAGTACACATTACAATACACTGAGAAACCAACGAGCAAAGAAATTCAATGTTACGGTTATTATGCAAAACTAGCTATGTCGCGAATTAGCGGGTTTATTTTTAGATTATTCAAAAAAGGTATATAAATTCCAAAATAACACCTCCTTAGATGCATACTTTGACTTCAGCCGAGTTAATTGCACATTGCTCAACATGAATTTGCTAAGGCTGGTTAAATACGTTGCGGTGATGAGAAATAGCACAAACTATGTGATAAACAGGAATTAAACTATTGGTGGAAAGTTTGTGAGGCTAGAGAGATACAAAGTATGTAGTTTCGAATTCCTCTGTGCCAGTGTTAAATTTATGTTTTCACGATACCTCCTGGTCTGGTCTGGTCTGTCCTGGCGTTGTTGATTTTGAATGCCTATCATCGTTTTCGCGGCTCTTCATTCTGGGTTTTTATTTTGTTGATTGTTTTGTTTTGTTTTGTTTTGTTGATAATTAAGCTTCCCCCATACGAGGACGGTGATTAGGTTGTGGGGTAGGTACCTCCTAAGCTCGCTATGTGTGCACCTTAATTGAAGAGTTGAGGCTTCGCTACGCACTCCGATGTTGGGAGGCTCAGGCCTTCGACCTTCGCCGTTTTTACAAGTTACTTTAGACCAGGGGTTCCCAATGCGGTCAGTATGGACCCCCTGGGGGTCGATAAAATTTTGAAGGGGGCCAATGATAATCACGGAGTCGATTGAAGGCTTTTTAATCGAATATCAACCGGCGATTGATAGTATAATCAAGATCTCACTGATTTAAAAAAATGAACTTGATAATTAATTTTTTTGATATAGAATTTATTTATTATTAATTTCTCTTCATTCGTATCCGTTGTTTATACTTAGGACGAGGACGTGGCTCGGCTGGGTAACCGGTGCATCGTACCGGTCCACTGAAGAAAGGGAATAAGGATCCCCGAAGACGGTTAACGGCAAAGAATAAAACAAATCATAATCCATGCTTAATTTCTCCATTGCACTAGCCACATTACTACTGAACACCAATTACATTTAAAACTACTCGTAATTTCACGTTTATGTGTTGAGTGGGTACGTGTGGTTAGCTCGTAGACATCCCACGCCGTATTCCAGTCTTCTGTATCTGAGAAGTGAATTTTCTCACCGTCACACAGCGACATATACTGGGAAAGAAAGCATTGTAAGGAAAACGCACACTATAATTTTGCCTCACCGAGAACTGAACCCGGAATCGCGTAGTGGAAAGCGAGAACGCTGACCAACAGGTAGCCAGAGGACAAAATACATTTGTATACAGAAATTATTAACCTCGCGTCATTTTTTGGAAGATAGATGAATCGAGCCTATTGTTGCTCTCTGAGCTCCAAAATAATTCAGAATACAGGCGTACTAGATCTAAACTGATTTCTTGAGCAAATGTGTTCGATGTGTATCAAGTTTGACTTCACATACTTCAGAAAATTATGACACACAATTTAGAAAGAGAGCGGCACCAGAAATAAAATGCATAAACAAAATGTGGAAATTTTATAACAAAAATAGAATATTAGTGTTTTGGTAAATTGTCATATGCAAAACAAAGAAATCGCACAAATTAAACTAAAGCGATTTTTCAGTTAAAAAACAAACAAAAAACACATGAGAGCATTACACGTCTTAAAACTGAAAGCTTTTAACGGATGTAGAGAATGAGAAGACCACTCTGATATTTTTCAAAAGTAAAACTCTAAAGCGATGATATACACAGCAATTAGCTGGGTGTGTCGTGTGTCAATCATGGGTCTGTAAGCGTGATAATACAGCTTCATCTGCACTCACCTGTTCCATTTTCGAAATAGCACAGGGCTTCATCGAATACGTCTGCCGTATCACGCGCAAAGTTCATCCTTTGAGTGTCTGCTTTCCGAGCGGCTGCTCCGTGTAACCAATCGCCAGAGGCGCTGCGCAGAGGGTCTATCGTTCGAGGGTGGAGGGTGGGAGGGGGGAGCGGCTATTACAACACCTGTCCCTCCAAGGGGGCGGCCCCACCTGCCAAGTGGGCGACGCTAGGGCAAACATTGATAGCGGCATCGAACCGGGGGGCGGCAGAGTTCGGACGGCGTCTACAAATTATTCTGATTAACTTTGCTCATTTATGAAGGTAAAGGAGGGCTGGTGGTATTATTGGACTAGCGCAAACGCCTTCCTTTCGAACTGGGGCCTGGGTTTGAATCCCGGACTATCCATGTGGAATTTGTGGAAGATAAAGCGAGCTGTCGGCAGGTTTTCTCCTGTTTACTCTGCCTTGCAGTTCACCAATTCTCCATCATCATTATAACTATTGCGTATTGTTTAGTTCATAACTTAAGGGCCTGAATTAACTTGGTAGTTAAAGGGCAAATCAAACAAGAGTGGGTGACCGCTATGATGTATTAGGAAAGTAAAACTCCAAAGCGACGATACAAACCAATTAGTTCGGTGTATCGCGTGCCAATGATCAGTCTGTGTGCGTGATAATAAAGCTTCATCTATTCCATTTGCAAAATATCACATATATGTCTGCCTCAAATATGTCCTCCGTATCACGCGCAAAGTTCATCCTTCAAGTGGCACCTAAACAAATAAACAATAGACAACATGAAAACATTGAAAGAGATCGATTAACAAGGGGATGGGGAATTACTTATCTACATAGCAATTCTGTGACGGCGAGCTGAAGTTTTACCACACTCGTAAAAATGTTTTCATAAAACTTGTATTAATATTACTGTGAAATTATTATACAGAACTATAATACAACACTCTGTTTAGATTATTGTTATAAAATTAATAATGTTGCGAATAAAATTATGTTTACCTAATAACTCTTAGCCCCCACAACTGATTTTCCAAAGTCTGGAAACGTAGCCGTATTTGATAGGTTTGTTTACAAGTGAGTGTATTCCTTGTATGGTTTTGCAATGTTTAGAGAGCGTGTAAACGATGTCATTGCCAGACATTAGAAGAATACCATGAATGTATCACTATATACGCGAACTTCGGAGATTGGCACACTTCCCAAAACACTGGGTTGGTTTATTGATTGATTAGTAATTCCGGGTGCGTCAACGTGTCATTAGGTCCGTAAGTGTAGTGCATGTTTGGTCCCTCGCTGGATGGCGAGATCCGACGCCGATCTATCAGTCGGGCTTGGGTTTTTTCCGCAACCATCTCCCGCCCGCGGGGCACCGCCCCAGCTTACTACTTATAATCATTGTCCATTTCTAAAATACGTTCTTTCCTTTTAATTTTCTCACATTTACTCCTCCTTCTGACCTTTTTAATCTCCAACACTTTGGCCTTATCCGTATTTAATTCAAGTTCTCTATTCTCTAGAAATGTTTCTAATCTCCACATCATCTGATTTATCGTTTAAATTTAAATTAAATTATTCATTATTTTAAATTAAATTAATTATCTTATTTATTATTTTACATTTCAATAATATATTTTTAAAATTGTCACCCGCGGGTCACAATGTGTATATCACGTTCTGAGATAATGCGAAAGCGGACTAAGAGACGAACATTCAGTATCAACTGTGTCTTGATCTAAAAACGTAAATCAAACCAATGTAAGAAATAATAATAATAATAATAATAATAATAATAATAATAATAATAATAATAATAATAATAATAACATACTTGGGCCTAGTTTAGGGTCACGCAGGCGTCGATCAGCCGCGACCACAAGTTGCGGATAGTGGAAACGACTTTCAGATACATGTGGGTTAGCTGCGAAATAAGCTGGCGTTGCCTGACAAACCAGCAGTCGTGGACAAAATTCGGCTTGGCCCTCCTGGCTGGGAGTTGACGTCAGGTTGCCAGTCGTTTGTAAAATCACAGTTAAATCGTAGTATGGATTGTACTGAATAACGGCAAAGAGAAATGCGGCTATATATATATATATATATATATATATATATATATATATAATATTATATAGATTCATGTACGACATTCGTAACAGACAAAGTAGGACTGCATTAAGGATTGGGTCTTAGTCCATACCAGTTTACCCTAGTCATGGCTTACAAGAGAAGTTAAGAAGTTATCCGGAAAAGCCAACCCCAGCTAACTGGGATTAGGTTTAGAAGAAGAAGAAGAAGAAGAAGAAGAAGAAGAAGAAGAAGAAGAAGAAGAAGAAGAAGAAGAATATTCACATATACATGCTAGTAGAATCTTTGTAAGAAATTTTCCTTACATCTTCTTTTAACCGCCACCAGAATTCTCTGTTGACGGTCCTGACTGCAAGTGATTCTTGAATATCACAGACATTCTTCCGACAAGTAATTTTCTGTTTACCGTGCATCAGAAATGTCGATCGACGTACATTTGAAAGTTTTCAATGAACTTTATTCTGTCCCCTTTCCGTAAATTGGCATGTTCTTTTACTTCAACGCAATTACATGCGAGTATTTTATTTTATTCTTCACTTTTTCACTAGTTTACATTTCACAATCTTATTGAGAAATTAATCATTTCAAAAGATACGTCACATAGGGCTATCTATCGAAAGTTGAGAGAAATCTTATTTACTGGTACCAACATTTCCGTAATTACTTAGGTGTCATTGGGTTGAAGGCGATGAAATCGCTCGGTTTAAAAGGAGATAACTTTACACGTGTCCCCGTTCGACCTAGCCGAGTGATCTTCGATTTCTACTCTAAAGGTTTCAAGTATTCAGGACGTTACATTTCTTACTACCTCGTCTACTGCGTATTTTCATCGAAAAGAGAGAGTATTGTAACGCTGAAGTGGAAAGTGACGATTTTTTAAACGAAAAATTCGTATTGTGGATCCTTGATATAAAAAGGAGGATAAAGCTTGCTTGTATACCTAGGTCGTTTGATCAGTCTGGTGAATTTCTATGAAAGTGCGTGAATTGTTGTTAAACATCAGCATTGTTGGAAAACATAATTGTAAGGCAATTGTTTAATAAATTTTCAAGCAAATCCGACACGTAGTTATTTGTTGCCAACCAGCTGTATGTGTAAGTTTGACGTGGGGCGAAGGAGATACAGGACAACGTGCTGATATTAAACATTTTTAATTAAAAGTTTGGACTGCATCGCAGATCAAAACCGAATAAATGAATTACATGTGGACTCTGTGCCAACATTTGACACAATTTATTTCTGGATTAACGAGTTCAAACGTGGTCGAAGAAGTGCAATACATGAAGCGCGCTCCGGCAGGCCAGTTGAGATCACCACACCGAAAACCATGAAAGAAATTCACGATCTGGTAATATATAGATCGCAGAGTGAAAGTGCGCGAGATAACCGATACTATTGGCATTGCAACTGAACGATTGCACTTCATCTTGCCCGAGAATCTAGTTTTGAAAAAGCTGTGCGCGAGATGGGTGCCACGATTGATCAGTTTGGACCAAAAACTGACTTGAAAGATCATTTCAAAGCAGAATATGGCAATGTTGAGAGGAAAGCACGTATTTTTGCGCAGATTCGTGACCGTGAACAAAACCTGGATCTATCACTTCACACCTGTAACCAAAAAAGATTCAAAACAGTGGACAAACGCTAGTTAGCGTGCACCGAGGGCAGTTTTGCCGTCATGAAAGGTGATAGCCACTGTCTTTTGGGATTCTAAGGGTACACTCCTTACATATTATTTGGAAAAAAGGCAGAACCATAACTGATTCCTATTACGCTTCATTATTTGAACGTTTAATACAGGATCAAAAAGCGGCCAATATTGATGCACGGAATGTACTGTTTCATCAAGACAACGCACCAGCTTGCGCATGCAGTCACAATGGCAAAAGTGCATCAGTTGGAATTCAAATTGGTTTCTCATCCAGAATACTCACCATATTTAGCCCCGAGATATTTCTCCCCGCCCCCACCTTAAAAATTTATCTTGGTGGATTCAAATTTTCTTAAGGAAGTGATTGCTGCTGTAACCAGAGATTAACAACACCATTTAGATAGGAAGAAGAAATTTAGCAATGAAGTTTCGGGTGAAACTGAGTTGTCTGAACCTTTGCCTTTACTCTTCCCGATCTGGAACAGTCTTGACTCTTGCTACAAGGCAGCTCTTTGCTCCCGATCCGTCTTCTGGTGAGCTATTTAACTGCCGCTATAAAAGTTCTAAATAACTGAGATCTTTTAGAACCGCGGTGTACATCTTGTGAAGTACAAGCAACCTATAATTTATAATTTGTATTGTCCCATCGCGAGGTTGAGGTCAATTCAGTTATCTTGTACCCACAAAGATAAGTCTCGCAGTTTGGTCAGTAAGTTGAAATAAGTAGATATATTGCCAAAAAATAACAAAGTAACGCCAAGCGGCCTCCATATTGCTTTTCATAATTATGTCGGCACGAATTAAGTAGAGTGTTTGTAACAAATTACAATACATTGCATTTGAAAGTAAACACATCCTTTAATTCATTCGGGGGTTATGTCGGTTAAAATGGAGTTGGATCTTGAATAATTGATTTCTTAACACGACACATTGACTTTCCGAGTACCTAACGTAATGTACAGTGTGTTTCAGAATAAATATTATAAACTTCTTTAAATAAATTTATGTACTTTTTTTCAAAATGTGAGTAGTTTCTAGTGAGTTTAATTTTGCGTAAAAAAAGGCAATTTTAAAGACCTGATATTCGTTGAACTCTCTGAATTTTGGAAAGTTGCAAAAAATGTTTGCAAACATTTTTAAGTATATAGCATTTCTTATTTTTTTAAAGAGAAACACCGAGCTTGTATCGTTTCATTTGATAAAATAATGAGTAATGTAATCTAAACTTACTATTTAATATCATGCGTATTCTATGCATAACTTTTTAATGCTGTTTATTTGGATGTACATTTTATGTGTCTGGGAAAGGTCAGAGATGCAAAGATAATGTGCGAATATTTTTAAAATTAAATTGTTTAATGTTTTCCTCTACAATCACTTTAATTATGTGAAGAGAAAATTGAGACATTTCTGTAGGTAACCGGAGGCAGAGTAAGCTGAAGTTTGTAGGGCATGAACGTGGATGTGGCAGGATTTCTTGTAGACATCTGGTTGTTATTTACTGAAGTGTTTTCTGACGAAAACTGGAACTGTAGTAGAATCACCAAATAAGTTGCCACTGAACCGACAATCTGCAACAAAATTGTTTTAATGAATTTTTATAATGTATATGCATATATATGTATAACAAATAAAATTGTCTTGACATTGTTAAAACGGATTTTTTATATAAAATATATTTTTCATTATATCATCATCATTAATAGTGTTATCGTGAGTGTAAAAAGTGATATGAAAAACTATAAAATCGCATGTTATCTCCTTCCAGATCATATTTAAGAGAGTAATAATAATAATAATAATAATAATAATAATAATAATAATAATAATAATAATAATGACTTTATTTCCGGCGACGCCAGGCCTTAAGGCCTGCTTTCTCATTTTAATAATTTGACATAAATTCATTCATAATCATCACTATAGCTCTTGAAGGTGACTTTGGATTTCATGAAGTGAAGATTTCATAATGTTTGTTTCTCTTCAGGATTAATTAAACGTCGTTTCATTCTTCCTGAATTCTTTGTGGGAGGATGCATATTTTACGAAATACTGTTTGAATCTGTCAGAATCTCCCTGGTCTGGGGAAGTTTATTGTCTCTGAGAAAGGAGTTAGGTAACGTTGATGCTCTTTTGCAAGTGTTGGGGTTGTGATGGGTTTTGCAGGTGCTGAACTCACCGAGTACAGAAGTGTAGAATCGATAACGAAGAAGTCGCAGGCGGTGAACTGTACATGACGGTGCAGAATCTGAAGAGACATCAGCTGCAACTAAATAAAATACAATAAGAAAAGAGCGAAAGAAAGGAAGGATGAAAGAAAATAAATAATTATATAAGTAATGGCGGAACAAATGTAGAAAATAATACAAAGGGACGTACATGATTTAATGTTCATTGCTTGGATTTCATTGGTTGATTACAACTCATTTGTAAAGTTCATATAAATCGATAATTCAACCCAGACCCCGTAATCAGACAGAAAGGAACTTTGTTCCCAAGTTTTCAGAGTATTAAAAATGTATAAAATTGAAATTATGACCGGATTTATCTTCTAAAATAGACGACAGTATAATTTAGGGTTTTCACAAAATGTCTTTAAGATGATTGGAAAAATGTTAATAATCATTTTTTTCACAACTCACCTCATGTCGCAAATCTGGATCGTGAATGTCAATTAAAGCCTTGTGAATTACAATTCCTGTGCGTTTCGACTGAAACAGTAAAAATTTACATATGAAAGAAATCCAATTTATTTTATGTAGATTGCTACAAATATGAGTTCCCTTCAATGTAGATAAATGTAAATTAATTAATTTCTCTCTCTTCATTGGCACTACAGCCGCTAACCTATCCTAGGATTGATATCTCACGATTTCCTTCTCAATCACTCTAAATTTGTTATGCTTGTTTCGCAATGAAAAGTTGCGGTTAATTGTCGGTTTTCGCTTGTAACCGATTGTAAGAGATCACAGAAATCACCCAATCAGAGCAGCCAACGTCTAGAAATTTCATCAAAGTTGTGGGTCCTACTACACACAGAGGATCCGACCATTTTATGAAATTGTTGTGTGAACAAAGCATGTAACTGCAGCTTTCTAGCAATTATTATGTTATAGACTGGACTTCTGCGCTTTGAACTCGTAATACTTTTAGGACCTTAATATTTTTTACGTTCGATTCCTGGTTATTCCAAGGCTCATTTTTTCTTAAAATTCTTTCCTCAGGTAGAGAAAACTACGCTTATAAATATAGTATAAGTTCCAAGGTTGAAGAGTTAGTAGAATGCAATTTGCAAATTGCATTCTGCATTATTTCAAAATGCATTTGCGAATATTACGATAATTACGTATCCTTTTCAGGTAAAACAGAAAATATGTGCTGGCGTTGCTTTTTTGAAAACATTAGTGTTGAGGCTGCAAAATGCTGCTTAGATAAATTGGGAGAGCATTAGCACAAATTGCAATGAACATTGCTTTTTCCATCAAAAGTTCTCATCAGACGAGAGAGTTCTGGAAAAGAAACGACACATATTTGGCAAAGATTGTTACTTTGTCCAATGAATCAATGAGTATTGAAGAGATTGTCATCGTTACCTCTGCCGGGACGAAAATAAAAGTTTTCCTTACGAATTTCACGCTTGGTGCTTACGCTCGCCGCGTTTTAGCGTTTGATGTCACGGGTGAAAGGGGCTGGGGACTGTCTGACAGCGCCCCGAATCGAACTTTGAATGTGCCCAACACATTTTTCTTAGCTTCTGTGCACGATGGCCACAAAACTGCTCGCAGCTCCTCTGATTTTGATGACAGTGCGTGCTTGTAATGATAATAATGTGGAAAAAGTTGGATTCCGAAAATATGAGTATTTGATCAACTGGGATGGAATTCATGCGGCTTTTTTTAGCATCTCCTAAGCGGTAAGTTTGAAATGAATGATCTTTTATTTTTAAATGCTTGCAAAGCGCAGCAAAACTTCGAAATTTGAATTAATTTGGCGGTCAGTGTGCCAACAATTAGTGTGTATTACTTTGTGTAATTGTGTATTACGACTTGGATCATATCTGGCCGTATGCTGTCTAAAAGGTAACGCCATGTCTGCAATGCCGTGGTTCCATGTGTTTATTTTATTGTTTAGTCACGACTTTGTCGTTGTATAGAATGCAGATTTTGATTGATGATTTTAGTTTTGATGCTTTGCTTATGCATCTGGCGTAGTACTTAACATTAATACTTCTGTGATTAATTGTTCATATTTGCTATTTATACTTCGCAATTACGTATATTCAATTCAATTTCATATTTTCATTTGTATTTTTGTAATTTCTTATATATGTTTTAGATACGTTTTGGTAATAATCACTGAGCGATAAAAAAATCATAAGTATTAAAAATATTGATACCTGGACATCTTTTTTCAATTTAGTGGTTGAATTTATAGTAATGTATTTGATATAAAAGCAGTTCTTTTATACAAACGTCTGTTTGTGATTAAAATATAATATTTAAGGGATAAATGACGATAGTCTTGTGACATTGTGCATATACAAGACGATATTTAGGATATTTTCTGCTCTGGAGGTTTAATTTAGACACTTCTTTTACTTTAAAAATGTCTGAGAGCTGATTACTATGTAATTATTCGAAAGTTGGAATTTCATTTTGTTGCAACCATGGCAAGCTTGAGAGAAATTATCCTTGCTTGTCTGTACAATATGCTGCATGTTGTTTCTGTTGTAAATGTAAGGGATTACTACCGTTTCTGGTTGCGGCGGTAATTACAGATTACCACCACAGGCGCTTCCTTTGAATTGGTTTGGACTTTTGCTAGTGATGGCTGAAGTGTAAGTAAGACAGAAATTGCAATAATATAATATTACACAATCGCACTCAATGATAGGAGAAAGTACGTGTTTTCTTAACTTGTTAGCCTACTTTTGAATATCTTTGACTGTTTACAGAATTTTCATTGCGGTGATTTTTTTTTTAGATGTAATTAAGTTTTACTAATTTCTCAGCGCATACGAGAGGTTGTGCATTAACGCGTTCCCTTTTCCCGATAAAATTGTCACAGGGATGAAAGGCAATTCCCATCCTTTGGATAAATGTCACTAGTGGTTGGGGATGAATGATGACGAGAGATGAATCCATGGATGAGATGATGGTTCAGATCGAATATGACGAAGAATGTACATAATTTTGTGAAAAATATTACGGGCAGCAACGAATAATAATAATAATAGTAATAATTAATAATTAAGAAGAAGAAGGATAAGAAAACTTTGTTCTGAAAAGCCTTACATGAGGCTTAAATCCGTAGCCTTCGCCTACTTGTCTGATTGATTAATCGATTAGTGTTTCCGAGCGCATCAAACCCTAAGGCTATTAGTCCCGTAAATGTAATCCATGCTTTTTGTTGAAGGAGGTGGTGGTGATCTATCCGTTGGATTATGAGATACGGCACCGACATACACGCTGATTGCGTAATTTCCCCCAACCAAGAATCTCACACCATCCGGGACGAACTCTAAGTTCCCGAAATGCGTGCTAGTGTAGTGGACGTAAGGGTGTGTGTAAGTAAGGGATGAGGGAAGGATAAGGAACACAAAGGAAAGATCGCGCTAGGTCTTTGAACTGTTTGTTAGGGTACTGCTCCAGCATTCCTCTGGTATTGATCGGAAACAACACTGAATACTACGGTTCAGAGCTGCCGGGCACTAGAATTCTCCTCCAAACAGCGCATGAATTCGACCAAGCTATGTAGCGAGTGTGGAAAATCTTGCAACCGTCGATCTCTAACGCTAGGGCCTCCCGGCCGCAGGCACAGAAGTGAAATGAGGCGAAGGCTTTAGCCATCGCAGTCCATGCGTTCTTGCTACCCGGGCCACCGAGGCAGACGTTACTCTGACACGTTAATTGCCACCATAATGTTAGTGTGATTCCCCTGGAGCAAAGAGTGACACTCTGATGAAGTGAATGAAGACTTTTCGATAGGTTATCTTATTTTTCTTTCGTCTTTTTCCTTTCGACACTACAGATTCGAGTTATAAAACGCCTCACCTTCATCTAACTGAAGTGACCGCTTGGTAACGTGGCTTCAAGGCCATGTCCGTAAAATATGTATGACGCATCATACCGCCATAAAGTGAGTTTCTTAACAACAAAAGTGAATCAGCACAAGATAATGAGGCATATATTTTGCTACGCCCTTTTGAAGGAAAGTAAAGAAAAATGAATGCCAATGGAAAATGTATGGATGTTAGTGAAACAAATGTATTGTCCTGATCGTGAACTTCAAAATGCATGTGCCTAATGCTTTGGAAAACACTATAAAATGAAAAATTATAAATGATCAATTTTGTCTTTTGTGTTTAACATATTTTACACATGTTTTCTATTCTTCCATTTATTGAGCTATTTTATGCCGTATTAATGTTTTGTGATTCATAAAGTTGTTTCATATGATTAAAATTACGCAATAAAATGACTTATTTTTAAAATTAATGATTAAAAAAGTGTTGTTTTTATTTATAGGATTCGTGATGTAATATTTCGCCCAGATATATACAAGGAGGCCACGCTTTATCTATGCTACATAAAATCGCATTTCACGTCACTCTGCAGAGACTGAATCGGTCTAAAATTGAGGACATGTGTGTATTAACAAAGTCTTCTAGAAATTTGTTAGTGTCAGTTACATTCGATTCTCTCAGCTGTTAGCGTGTTAATGAAGTTCAGGCTACGAAATCATCTCTGAGACCGGCTTAAGTGGTTCAGGGCATCAATTGATGTCACTGCAGTGTTTCTGACCTAGGGTTGGGGTCCCGACCGTGCCAGGATTTTCGACACTGACTACGTAGCTAATGTCAGCCGTTGTCTGGAGAATTCCAGAGATTGTCTGCTCGGCGATCGGCGTTTTTCCGTGACTTCTCCGATCAACACAAAGCGAATGCCGTAGCAGTACCCTACCAAACGCACCACGAACCGAACGCAATCTTTCTTTCCTCTTGTTACAACTTAATTACACACACACGCTCACGTGCACTATACTATCACAGTTGACGGGAAACCAGTCGGTACCTTGGAGCTTGTCCCGGCTACGGCGGTGCCCCTCTGATGGGAGATAGCTGGTTAGGGAAACACACCCACATACAACACGTGTAGGTCGGCGCCGCACCTCACCGTTTAGCGGGGAGATCACCGCCACCTCCTCCGATAAATCATGCACAACACATACGGGACTAATTACCTTAGCAAATGACGCGCCCGAAAATGCTATCAATCAATCAATCAATGAATCAATCAATCCTGCGGGAGCGCTTCCCCCACCTGCGATGCGGCGATTGTGCAGGCGGCAGCGACGGCCACCAGGCGACCGGCGGCCTCCAGGCAGAACATGACGTGCAGCGGCACCATCTTGGCGCTGAGCGCCCACTCGCGCGGCCGCCGGCTCGTCAGTAGCTTGCCCAGCAGCAGGAACAGCGAGCTCGTCAGCACCACGAAGCTGCGCACGGCGCTCGTCAGCATGGCCAGCGAGAACGCCGCGTTCACCGCCGCCGCCGCGTCGCACACGCACGCCTGCGCACGCCAGCCAGCGATCGCCGTCACGACCCAAGCTCCCCCCTCCCTGCCACATGTGCCAAAAGTACTTTCTAATTCATTCATTCCATTGCTTATGTTATGTCCAGAAAAAAAAAACACGCAAAGGAATAAATAGTTACAAATGTTTACTGCACACTTGATACGATTCAGAATTCCAGCTCGTACTGATAACAATGCTTCTTTCCATATAACCAGAACTTGTATAATCATGAAAGCACTGTCGTCGTCACCAGGAGAATTACCAGTTTTTAGCCTAAGTCACGAAAGCCCAATTAGAATTTCTATTAGCAGACATAGTCGGCATAGGCAGAACATAGTGTAGGCAGAGGCACTGACAAAACTAGACTGCCTGCTCCATCGCCAGCTTTTTCTTATACGGAACCTCCGGCGACGTCAACATCAGTGACTCGCCTCAACCTCGCGTTACAGTGGCTGCTCCCACTAAATAGCGAGCCTCATCAACGCGCGCTGCCGAACTGCTCGCGCGCCAATTTAAATTACTTGATGTATCCATAACAGGTTATCTGTACAATGTGTTTATTCATTATTCCGTTAGAAATCGTGTAGCATCTTATTATTTGGAAAAATTTAGTTGAACTGGTTTCCGGTGAAAAGATCAGTTTTCGAGAAAACCCGACTACGCCTCTTCATTACAACCCTACATTTCATCCACACCTGCGTCCGTGACGCGCACTCCCACCCCTTCGCTCTCGAGAACTGGCTAAGGGCTATGCCTGTCGCCCTTCGCCCTCGCGAACCTCATTTTTGTCTGCTAGACGAAGAGAGGTGGTTCAAGGCATCAACTGATGTTACTGCAGTGCCTCTGACTGGAAGATTGTAGGTTCGAGCCTCGACAGTGGCAAGATTTTCGACATTTGCGACTTATCTAGGTTGAATATATACGCTGTCTGAAGGAGAATTCTAGGGGCGTCTGCTCTGATCGGTAGTTTTCCGTGGTTTCCTATCCTCACTTCTTATTTACACACACTTACATGCACTACACTACCCCTTATACCGGAAGACCGGTCAGGAGTGTAGAGCTTTTTCCAGCTGGGGCGATTTCCCGCTGGAAGGAGATACCTGGATGTGGGAAGCCCCGCTAGTCAACGCTAGGTTTGCGCCGGATCTCATCATCCAACGAGGGAAGATCACCTCACCTCCCGTTAAAAACTATGCACTACACTTGCGGGGCTAATGACTTCAGTAGTTGACGCGCCCGGAATCACTAACAACCAACCGACCTTGTCTGCGAGGATTTTTAATTAATTTTAAAAGGGGGTTTTAAAAACAAGAAAGTTTGCACTCAAATGCTGTCGTAAAGTGTTCAGGAGGTAATATCCGGTGTTGAGTGGAATCAATAAAATTTTCAAGATTTGTTTTTTTTCTGAAGGAAATTGCTCATGCTATTAAAGCCAGTTAACATTTTAAAAAAAATATAGTAAAATAAAGTCCATAGTGAGTCCTTTGAAAATTATGTTTCTTAAAATTAAAGAACATTCTTAATTTTTGTTTCGGAACGAGGGAGGAGTGAGGAGGAGGTGAAAGGAGTGAGTTCATTCTGTAACTACATTATAATAAAAAGGATTCTTGCATTTTTCTGCGAAAATCATTTATCGACTTTGATAACAGTAGAAGATATGATCATTTGAATTTTCTATACCCTTTTCAAAATTTTAAGTGATAAATTTTAATGCTGTCCAGGAAGGAAACCACAAAACTTAGTAAATAAGCTCTTAATACAATTATAATCATATTTTATCGTATATACTCCTTGGATATTCCGAATGGCTGAGCTGCAAAAATATCTCAAAAGTTGGTTTGAAAAAATACTTTCCATGCAAAAATTTGCATTGTATAAACATATAAACACTTCAGAAACATGTAAGTTATTTATTATTTACAAAAGAAATGAATATTTCTGTTCAGAAAGACAAATTAACCCAGAAATAAAAAGTAAAAAGTAGTAGAATTGTGTAAATTGGGTTCTTTTTATATCTGGTATTGTTTAGGGAATTGCTCGTGATGTCAATATTTACGTTTTGTATGTTTTGTGAGTAATTAGCAGTTGTCAATTCCATAACTTATGACTTCTCAACTTGTCTGTGTATGTCTTTATATATTTTGTAAAAAAACTGCCATCGAGCGAAAGTTGGCTAGCGAAAATAATTATTATTGATATTGATAATTGAAGTTAATCGTTTTCCTTCTTTATTTAGATCCATGAAGCAATTACAAAAACGAGTTGTCCTGGATACAGTTTAATTAATTTAAGGCTAAGTTAAACAATAAATCATTTAACGTCGTAAAAATGTCTTTAAAACAGGTTTTCCTTTAACTTCCGCGAGAAACAACCTACTTTTAACAATTTGAACTTTATTTCGTTTTTACATCTAAATACACCATAGGAAGCGTAACTGGCTCATTTGGGGAGGGAGTTTGCAGAAGCAACCTCTTGTAAAAAAGGTTGTCCCTAATGTGAGCATTAATTCGCGATTTATACTGAAGCTATTAGCTGTAAAATATATGTGTTTCCTGACTGCACAGCATTCTCAGACAATTCGATTGATTAATATTTTTTTTGATTTCGAGCGCTTCAACGACTATTATCGTCAATCGTAAGTGCAGGGAATGTTATATCTCGGGAGGTGACAGTGTCTCTTACTTGCTAGCTCGTTAAATTCATCGCCGCCCAACATATTTTGCGAGATTTTCTCATCCCGGAATCTCTGTCTTGCGGTGCACTACCCCAGGACACGCTCTAAGCTCCCGAAGTGTATGTAGTGGAGTGTAAATGTAAGAAGAGGAGAGGATAGGATAAGGAGGAGGAAGAGAAGACTGCTGTTTGTTGCCCGTTGTGTAAGCTCCGCCGGCCGGGGCCAGTCACCTGCAGGGTGCGCAGCTTGAGGATGTGCTCCCTGCGCCGAGGCAGCGGGACGCGGTCCTCCGCCTGGTCCAGCACCTCTCGGTTGAGGCGGCGCAGCGCCAGCAGGATGGCCACCACGAAGTTGACAAACATGAGCTCCACCAGCCACGTCTGCACGTTGTGCAGCAGGTAGACGAAGTAGCGCGGGCGGGAGCTCACGCGCGACACCGAGAGCGTCATGGAGGCGGACGTCGTGCACAAGGCCACGACCAACACCACGCACACCTACGCACACACGTCGCTTGGGCGGGGCCCAGAAAATATTTTAAACTCCCAACAAAGTTGGCACAGTTGGCTTCAACTTGTTTGATGAAAAAAGGAAAATATTGGATGATTCTTCATTAAGTGAATTGCGTGGGCATTTAATAAACGTTCACACGTACAGTAAATTCCTGTTTAGAATATTTTCACGAACTGCCTCCATGGCGCATACATCGATCTGTTAGTTGCAAGCAAGTATTTTTACTTGCAGATGGCTAATTTAAAGGCATGCTTAAGTCCAAACATTCTGGACCACATCATCAAACAAATGGTCAATGAAACACTTTTAAAATCAATTGATTAAAGTTGAGAGTCCGGTACACCCTTAAAGAATAGCGCTGGAGAGGAGAACCGTGAGTGGAGGGACTAATACAAGGAGATATTGACTGAGTACTGAGGGTGAATGGAGATGAATAGTAGTGCGTGCTCACCCTGTACTCACCCTAAAATTATGAAAAACACTCTCATGGAAATTCAAAAAACTTTCATGCTGGCTTTTTCGTACTGCACATGTGGAATACACCACTTTCAAAACTGCGAGCGATTTAAAATTCACTTCGCACTAGCAATTTCACTTGCGTTTTTATGTTACATTCCTTTACAGCCAAGATGAAGCTACGCTACGCATTCCATATTGACCACGAGGCTATCCCCTTCAGCACTCGCAATTAATATACAAACATCCGAATTTGGCAAAGTAAACTACAAATCCATTTTATGTAAAAATGTTTGTAGAAAAAATCGTCTCATAAATTTATTTGATGGCAAATATGGATTAATTGTTGTTTAATATCTAAATTGTGAAGAAATAATTGTACATACTAACCACGGCGACAAAGTGAATATGGTAAATATGTATATTTTTATTAGTTTCTGGAAATCTCTCAATTCGTCATTTTAAAAATCCAATCGTTTTCGTATTACTGGTTTCTCGCATTTGACTAACTCGTTCAAAATTTCCATAATGCTTCACAATGAACAAGCACAGGTCTAGATAACGACTTGAACGACTTCCTAAAGTTGCACCGGAGTTTAAACTAAAGACACTTGCAAATATGTTTTTGAACCCCTGTTTTATCTTTCCTTCCTTGCCAACACGTACCTGTATGATGTTAGCCCTGCGCCACCAGAGGTACACCGCAGGAGGCTGCGCCAGAAGGCGGAACAGGTGCTGCACGCGGGAAGCAGCTCCCTCCAGCAGCCTTCGCCCCTTGAGCACCGTCACCACCGACGTGCAGTACGTGGCGTAGAAGGTCACTTCGGACAGCGCCGCCGCCACGCCGGACACGTTCAGTGGGTCGCGGAGCGGGGAGAAGAGTTGCCTGTCAACGAGGCTCGTTCGTACTGAATGCTTCCGATGAAACATTCCCGGACCGAAAACTTTCTTTTGACTATTCCGCTCAAGAAAGTATCGCCAATAGGTTTTAATAATACATTTGATAGAACCCAATGAGGAGTTTTATCACATCCCGTTTTCATGTTTGCGAGAAAAATGTGTTTATATATCGCACCTCCAATAGAAAAGTGACATTAGTACGAAATTGTCATTTTTCTACTAGAAGCTGCTAAGAGGTTGCCAAGAGGTACTGCATCTATTCTGAAGTTGATTTTGAATTAGTTCAATTACTGTCCGCTAAAATGTGAATATTTGGTACAATCTGTAATGAGTATTACCGAACTACCAAACTTAAAATTGCAATTTCTGAGAAATCAGAAATTCGCAATTGTGTAACTTTCCTATTGGAGGTGCGATAATCATTAAACCTGTTGGCATATACCACTCCTTCCATTTACAATCCCCCCGTAACACTACCAAAAAATGTTAATATAACTGAAATTGTACTTACAACATTTTTTATTTCGTCTTCAATTATCGCTTTTTGAAAAGGACTTTATTACCACTTCTCTCTACTGCCAAACATAATCTGCGATTCATCAGTCGTATGAGGTGCCGTGCGTAGGAATAGCACATGGCTGTGATTAAACTAACGAGGTATTAAAGGGAGATGAGTGAAACACATTAATTACGGACGTATTGGGAAACTGTTGGTTATAACTTCATTCTTGGTGTAGTATTGAATACTGCAGCAGAACCTCGCTAATACGAACCCCGCAAATCCGAAATCGGATTTCTGATAATCACAACAAAATTTCCTATGGAGGAAAAATAAACCAAATAAATAAAAGGCTTATTTGTAGTGTAAAAAGGATTTTATAATTATTGTAGAACTGAATTAATTAATTATTGAAACACATGTTGCCGAAATGAAATTTATTGCACTCGTATCACATGTTTATGTAGAAGCTATTTTCACTTAGAGGAACATGGCAATTTGCCGCAAAGCAGTGAATCTGTTTGATGGTGCGATGTGATGATGCGAACGCCACTATACGTTGCCATTTTCTCACATCGCACTTTATGTTGCATTGTCTGGTAATGCTATACATGTTTGTATATGTATGGTACATTGCTTTTGGATAATCGGAACATTTACGAATCCGAACACACCACTCCCCCAATTAGTTCGGAATACCGAAGTTGTACTGTATTCATACTTTTGAAATTACTGGATAAATTCAATTGTCACGTCTCGACTTGTGTGTCTTTTTAACATTAATCCAGTGACCTTTCGTACTGAATCGCAGATTCGGTATTTGCACATACCACCTCGGCCAGTCACACCGCCTTAATGATAAGGATGGTGATGTAAACGTTCTGTATCAAGGGATGGTTTGTCGTGCCATGTCGAGTTACACCTTAATTTGTTTTCTGTCTTAAGGTAACATGGCGTTCAAGTGCAACACATATCTGCTGAAACAAACAGTAATTTGAATATCTCACTAATATCTGATTCATTTTGAGTGGCGTGAGCAATGAGGTTATGTACAGCTCTCATTGTCAACTTTCGTCAACTCACCATTCGTTTCCGCGACCGAACTGTGCTCATCCACACTGACGGCCGAGCACAGCTATACAAACGACAGTTTTATGCGTCCAAACTACGTTGGATATAATCATTTTTGTGCCTGGAACTAACACTTCGCACTTGTACTCAACGTACATGACACGACAGACTAACGGCTACGACAGTTCAAGGGCAATGCCTCAAATATGCGGCATCAATTATCGGGAGGTACTAGGTTTCGAGTCTTTCATACACTAACTAGTGAGCTAGGTCGAATTCAATCACTGTCTGGGGAGAATTTAGCGGTATGATGATATGATTGGTAGTTTTCCTTGGTTTCTGTGACAAACACCACGGACCGCATGCGATCTCTCTTTCCTCATCCTTGCCCACTCCTCTCCCCTTACACACACACACACACACACACGCACGCACTTATATGATCATCATTTCGACATTTAAAGAGACCAGCCGGGAGAGTAGAGCGGAGATAAGATGGAGTCGCGCTGGGGGAGAGATGTGTAGGAGGAAGGGCCGCCTGAGATTTCACGTGTCCACAGGGAACACCCACACCTTATGCGTCAAACCAACACCCACATTTACGAATGTAGTTACCTGTTAGTAACATGGATCGAAGTAATCAACGTGCCCTACACTCTCACCACGATCCAGCATTCCCTTACAAGCAGCTTACCAGTTCTTGCTCAAGTTGATGGCTAAGGTGCCGACGAAGAGCACCACGCCCCACAGCAGCGCGGCCGCGTTGGTGCGCGCGCGGCCCTCGGCGTCCAGGGTGAAGGGCGCGAGACCCAGGCCCTTGGCCACCAGCCACAGCGGTGCTCGCCCCAGCACGGCGCCGCGCGCCCCGGCCCCCGCCCCGCCGCCCCCCGCCGCCGCCGCTCGGCGCCCGTCGAGCCACCGCCCCAGCCACCGCGCTAGCGCCGCGCACGCCATCGCCTAAGGAGGCGCAGCTGAGGCACATGCGCGAATGAGACACGTGTGGATGCGCGCATTTCAGGTCACTTAGATGACAAAAGTCATGGGAAACCTCCTAATATCGTGTAGATCCTTTTTTTTGCCCGGTGAAGTGCAGCGACTCGACGTGGCACGCATTCAACATGTCGTGCTGAGTTATTGAGCCATGCTGCCTTTATAGCCGTCCATAATTGCGAAAATGTTGCCGGTAAGAATTTTGTGCACGAAATGACCTCTCGATTATGCCCCGTAAATGTTCGATGGGAATCATGTTGGGCGATGTGGGTGACCGAATCATTCTCTCGAAATGTACACAAGGATCTTCACACGAATCGCGAGCAATTGTAATTCGGTGACATGGCGCATTGTCATCCATAAAAATTCCATCGTTGTTTGGGAACACAAAGTCTATGAATGTGTGCAAATGGTCTCCAAGTAGCTGAACGTAACTACTTCCTTCATTTACGCGGATATTTCAAGCAATGTTGATGGTCTGTCAGCACTGACAACTCTACATAAACCGCTGCTCTTGGACATTAAAAGAAGGCCGTCGGCCACTGCGTTGGCATTCGTGGTGAGAAGTTTTACCTGAAATGAGGTTCTCTAGGCCCACTCTTCTCACTGTGGATCTTGAAATGTTGAATTTTCTAACAATTTACGAAATGGAATGTCCCATTAGCCTTTCACCAACTACCATTCCGCGATCAAAGTCTATTAATTCCCATCTTGCGGGCATAACCACGTCAGAAACAGTTTCACTTGAGTACAAATGAAGACTGCCAATGCACCATCCTTTTATACATTTTGTACGTGATACAACTGTCAACTATATATTTACATATTTATATCCCATGTTGTCACCTCAGTGTACTTACAAACTGGTGTCCTACAGAGCAAAGTCACACAAAATTGTTTCCCAAAAAATAGCACACACTCTGCTCAAGGACAACAAAATACTTGTATGACCTTACAATGAATTACATTTATTAACGAAAACAGTCTTTACGAATATTGCAGTAACTATTCATACAGAACAAC